TACGATTTCGTAAAACCGGAAGATCGCTCAGAGTTTATGTTGTCGTTTAAGTTTGTTGGCCTGCTGGTGACTGCAGCCAGAACCTGAAAACCCCAACGAAAGCCATCTGTTCGGAGCGCGAGGCAGACGCTGACCAGAGTCCCGCAGCCCAGTATTTCTGGGGAGCTTCTGCCCTGAGATTAACACATCCCACTTTCTCACCACCCACCCGAGCTCGCGTCCCAGGAGTCCCTCCCTCATCCCCGCCGCCACACCGCAGGGGCTGCCCCTGCGTCGGCCTGGCCGCATCTGCTGCCTGCCACCGAGCTCTCGCGTCTCCAATCAATAGTCCTCACTGAAGAGCTCAATTTCCACCGGGGTGGAGAAGACGGCGGAGGGGAGGGGGTGGGCAGGACAGATGTATTTGATTGTCTCCTCAATTCCCCCACCTTCTGCTACTGTGTGCTTGTTTGGAAATGAGTGTGTGTACGTTTGCGTGTGCGCGCGCGTGTGTTCCTGCAGTAGTGTTATGAATCAGTAATCAGAGCGGTGACACACCTGAGCAATGCCCTCATCCCCCTTGGGTGCCATACATTATAAATCAAAAGAGTGCATTTGCATAGAGCCTGCTTATTATTCCAGATTTTGCCTCTACACAAGTAAGCTAAGGGTTATAATCATGATAATGAGCTGTGCTGACTGTGAGCTTTTCATTAGCTGTACGCGGAGGGGGCGCAGGAATAAATGATATTATTAGTTTTTGATTTAGAGGTCCGCACCGCGAGTTTTTCCCCTTGCATAGACAAAACAGCGGAAAACTTTGCGCGCCGTGCTGCTTTGCCAGGGCCACCCCCTGCTGTGCCTGACCACTTGTTCTGATGAAATCTCCTTCACGTGCAAATGCAAAGAAGAGAAAAGTCACAGGCACAGATCAAGATTAGCTAGAAGCAGAATTTGGGAATTTGGTAGAAAGATTCTGCAATTTCTGTTGTGTTTTTTTGTTTTTTTTTTCCCTTTAACCAGTCTGTTTCCCTCCTGAATCACAATGCTCTGTGGCACACAAGGAGAGACTAATTGCAGTCAGCACACTACCAGCCAAGTAATTGTAGGCGAAGTAAAGAACGAGTATCAAGGAAAAGGAGCAGGTGCTTGCTGATGGAGGAAGCCTTGCTACCCGGTGGGAGATCTAAGAGGGGAGGGTAGGTGTGAGCTGGACAGGGCCCGGGGTTATTACTCTAATTGACACTTCACCTCACACACATGCACACGTTCCCCGGGGGCCAATCAGAGCGCCTCGGCTCTGCAGTGGAGGGATGGATGGAAGGCTGGCACAGGTGCTGCCGGCGAATGTATCAGGGGTGTAATTGCACTGCTGATATTTGTCTATCCCTGTGTCACGCCACCAGACGCCCGCCCCCCCCTTTCGCCCCCTCAACACACACACACGAACCCAGCCCATTAACCCTACAGGTCCTATTGAGAGCAGCGTTCCTTTGAAAGCCTTCGAGGCCCCTGTGTTTTACACTCTGAATATAATAATGCACAGAGGTGCTCACACTTGCTGGTGTCCAACAGCAGTAATTGAGAGACAGGGGATGTGATGGGGGTTACATAGTTCACCCTGCTGAGTGTGCTTCGCCAGAGCTGGCCAGAGTAGCGTGTGTGTTTACGCATTTATGTTTCAGTTCTTTGATCCCATCGCTGATATAATGAGCTAAGCTGCCTATGTGTGTGTGTGTGCGTGTGTACGTGATGGATATTTGTTGGAAACCAAACGGGTCAAAGAGATAAATGATCAAACTACTCTTGGATGTGTATGCTGATTAGGATTAAAAATGATGTGCGTGTGTGTGACAGCACAGAGCTCGTCATGCTCACTTAAAAAAAATAAATAAATAAAACTAAAAAAAAATTAAGAAATTAGTTTAATTTGATTAAATAACACAGACAATTTTTCCTGAGTCTGGTTTTGCCATCTGTTCTTCTCATAAATCTGAGCAAATCAGTTGTCTTTGGGTTTTGGTTCCTGGATTTAAAAAAGGAAGTGTCAAATGGGGCTATGGGATGAGGTACTGGACATCATTTTTGTTTGCTTGTTTTTTTTTATTTTTTATGTTTTGCTGTTCAAAATTTATGTAGAGTCCTAGACATGCAACAAGCAATCAGCAGAGATCAGCTCAGATCAGAGATTGGCAGGTCAGGAAAATCTGATTACTAAACGTTACTAAGAAATCCGTAACGTTTGAGAGAATATGAAGGCACAATGTTCTTTTTGTTATTATAATTACTATAATTTTCTGCTGGAGCAACATTTTTTGTCAGCCTGAAATCATGAACCGCTAACTGAGCCATTAACTTTGACCCAAACTCCTGAGGTGTCTGCTTGAAAATGAATGAAGGATTTAATTTCTCAGCATTAAAGGAGCCCTAATTGAAACAAGTTACAGAACGGCCTAACCAAAGTGCCGAACTGAACCCCGCCGAAAATCTATCCGGTGACCTGAAGAGAGATATCCTCACATTCTGATTGGTCTGGAGAACAGAGTGGACAAATGTTACCAGGCGAAGATGCAGATTGCAGGTGGATTACTGCAGACAAATACGACAGGCTGAGAGTAAATCCAGAAGTTTCTTGACAGAGTTTAGTTTATGGTTGTGGACACTTCCACACAGTTGTTTATTTTTTGACTGGATGGCAAAAGATAAATGTATCAAAAATGTGAAATCTTACTAACAAGATGCATTTTTTTTTTTACAACCAAACTATACTTTCATGCATAAATGAGGATAATTGGTTAATTTCTTATCTTTTGCTGGATTCAAAGATTCTAACATTCTTAATGAAAGCTGTAAAACATTTTTGCTTCGTTTTAGCTCTTAGAAGGGGAAAAAAAAAAGTGTAATCCGCAAACTGGAAATCATGGCCTGCAAAAAGCCTGGCTGTTGCATCGCTCATCACTTCATTGAATAAATGTCAGCAGTTGCTGGTTGCTGTCGTCATTTCTTATCACATGTGCTTGCAGTGTTTTGTCTAAGGAGTACGAGGAGGTTCTGCGCAGCGTCTCTGCAGTTGTGCAGCAGCATCAGAAGACTCTGGTGCCCGGTATGCCCCAGCTCAACATGTGTGACCTCGCTGTGATGGTAAGCCTGTGCATCACCCAGGTTAAGTTCATTCAGATATGACTACTAATCCTGAGGTATTCAGAGCGCTGTGACTGATTATGTTGTTGACTCTAGTTACATTAAAAGCAATATTTTCAATTTTCTATCTCACTTCAAATTATGTGTATTATAAAATGAACGCTGCCAAGATCTTCGCTCTTTTTCATTTGTGCCACAGCACTGCCACCTTGTGGCCAGCGAAGGAAAGCTTCTTAATCTCTTATGCGAGTCACTTATGATGAATATTAACAACCTGCTTCCTGTCATGCTATAAACTGCAGATTGAGCTTAATTTGTAGATATTCTTTCAAATAAGCGTAAGTTATGTACAAAAATTCAAAATGTATTACATTTTAAATGAGATTTGTTTGTTTTCAGAGTTTTTCTGGATTGTTTGACTCCTTTAAGCAACTGAAATGTAGATGACAGTGTCAACATTGGTTATACTATTGCAATGTAAATCAGTTTCTACAGAAACGATTGCATCTGTAAACAAGAAACGGATTTGAAAGTAATTATACTTTCCCCATTAGAAAAGTTGAAGTTTATTTTTCATTCTTAGGCTGCACATTAATGCACAGACACAAACTATGATGTCCTTCAAATCGTTATTGGACAGAACAGCAGGCAAACTCTGCTAATGGCTTGCTCTTAAATGCTAAAATAACTTGATTGTCTTTCTAATAGCGAATAACTTGAGGGTTGCATATGGTTTTGTAAGTTTGTTTCTGTCTGTCTCCTTGTACAGAACTGGTCTCCTCCTGGCTGTGAAAAGTTGGGAAAGTGTCTGAAACCACCCACGTCTGCACCCTGGAAGTGCAACTGGCCACACTGAGACGCACGGACAAGACGGAGTCGAGAAAACAAAAACTTGAAGATGTGCCTTACAGCACATTATGAACAAATATTTTTACTAAAGTATATTTTTGAAATCTTTGCCAAATCATTCATATTCATTATTGCAGAAAATGATATGGGAATAAAACAAGGGAAATGTGGTGCTTCTTGAACTAAACATTAATTGTGCTGGAAGGGATGATATATTTATGCTGATTTAGCCTAAAAAGGGATCAGTTGTCCTACATTTTTCAGTCTTCACATTTTGCACTAGAAAATAAATCTATTTTGGTGTGAAGATGATGACTTTGTGGGAAGTCAGCTTTAGACAGAAGGTGTTTTTTCATTTTCTTCTCTGATAGCCTGGCCCGTTCTTTCTTTGACTTTGTTTTTTTCATCATCAGGTAAAATCAGTAGATAAAAGTGGGCATCTTTTACTGATGCTGCTTCTGATTGTTGTAACTTTTTACATGTCCTGAAGAGAACAGCTCAGAACTTCATAGCTTTTATAACTTGTACTTCATTTGGGCAAACAAATGAAGTACAAGTTGAAAGCCATATTTTGAATCATTCATTCTTGTGTTCAAAATCAGACTCGCTTTTTTTCTCTTCTGTTTATTCACATTCACTTTATTCTATGTGTCCTTTCTGACTGTTTGGGATATTGTTTCAATTTTCTGTTTTGCGTTATTTAAAAATAGAAAGTATTGTCCAACCTTTTTGTGCAACTCTCATCTGTTCAAAAAGTGTTTCACAAAGATAATATTTGTAATAATTTGCTAAGTTGTTTTTGTGAGCCAAGTGATTGCACAGCATCCATTGTATCTTTCAGAGAATTCTTTAAAACTAAAACAATAATTTGATTGGGGCCTGCCAAAGCAATACATACGGAGAGCAGCACAATGCCCTGCATGTCCCCTCACTCCATATGTGTATATATATATATATATATATATATATATATATATATATATATATAGTTTTTAAGTTGGATTTTTTTTTTCTATAATTAGGTTTCTGCAACAACAGATAATTTTTTTTTACTCGACTTTAACAGAGGTGCCAAAATGTGTGGAGAGTCCTATATGTTTCTGTAAATTACTGATCCAGTGGTCCTAACACTTCCTGCTAGTTGTCATAAATCAAATAATAAATAAATAAAAGTAAACCGTTCTCTAAAGCATGTAAAGTTTTGGTAAAATTCACAATATTGCAGAAAAAAAAGTAGAAACTGTAAATGTTGAACTCTAAGATGTAATTTCCTCAAAGTAATTTACAGTAACCAGAAAAGTCAAACATTTAAGAGTTTAGCAGAACATAGCGGCAAACGTTGGAAGCAGGTTCAGTTACATCAACCAAGACAACGTTTTGGGGAACAAAGTAGTGACCATAAGGAATTGAGTTTTAAAGTACAGTCAGTGCTGCTAAAACCAGCTTCACTTCACAGAGAGCATGTCGTCACTGTAAAGAAGGAAGTAGTTGCCAAACAACCACCAAAATAATGTTTTTAAAAGCAAAGCTAAAGTTTGCAGCTAATCACACAGGCTAGAAAAAATACCCACATGTAGGAAAACTACACAGATGAGAGTAATGGTGTCCAATGGATTAACTATTGAATTATTTGGACACAAGTGTGTGGGGGAAAAAGCCACCAACCGTGCTTTGAAGCTTCATATCAACATGCCGCAGCAAATCCTTGAGCTGTTTTCCTGTCATTTAAACTGATTATACAAAGTAGATTGAATAATGAGCAGCAGGTCCCCAAACCACTACAAATTGCCTGCAGTGTGTTGTTTTAGCAGAGCACTGTCCAAACAAAACTAATTGGGTTGTGGATTAGTAAGTGGAAGGCCCCATAATCTAAAATATGTTTACTGTAAAAGTCACGTCTATAAAAAGAAAATGGCTATAAACTGCAGAACTGATGAAGCCTTTTGGGGGGGACACCAAAATGATCGAGTACCTGAAGGACACAGACTAAACTTTTGCTAAAACTAATCTGATTTTCATTTTAGATGAATGAAAATCAGTTTTCATCCAGCTGATTTTGAAGCTAAAGTTTGCAGGGGGACCTTTAACCGAAGCTGAAGTATTCTTCCAAGTCTCTTCTAGTCATGTTTACCACATGTTAATAGTAGATGAGACACGTCCACACACCTGGATACCAGTGCAGGGTTGCGAGGGTATGATGTCTTTCTCTAGGGGTCGCTGGGCACCTGTCCAACATTCACCCCTCTCCATCACTAGACAAAACGGAGATAAGCAGGACAAACAACCTTACACACATGCACACTCATACCTAAGGGCAAATCAGAGAGAAATATAATGCAACATGTATTTCAGAACTTTGGGAGGAATACGGAGAGAACATGCAGAAAGACCCCGTACAAGGATTTGAACCAAGGACCTTCCTGAAGCAATGCATCGCTGCTAACAATTGATTTTACACCAGGTAATTACAAATGCCAAAAGAAAAGTCACATGACAAGATAAGCAATGTAAGGGGAAATGTAATTGATACTTAACACAAACAAAAAAAGGTAAAACAAATAGGTACAGAAGTTCTCATGAAATGTAGCTGCAGTGAACAGTAAAGTTTTCATTCCAGTTTTAAAGTTTTAAATGAGCAACCAGTTTCTTCACACTTCAGGTCTGCTAAATTTGTTTTCTGTTCCTCCAAGAGGACAGGCCGAAAAGGCGTAAGTCAGCTGTATGAAAGTCTTTGAAGGATCTAATGAAGTACACATTGCACTTTAATGTGAACACATGTATGTGCCGCTAACAAATATAGGTGTTTTTTTTAATTCTACTTTACTTCTGAAGTTTAACTCTGCGTTTTGGCGCTTTTGCTCAGCAATTTCTGTTTCTTGCTTTTTTAACAAATCATTTTGTAATAAAGTCTGTAGTGTCGGTTTTGCGGCGGCAGGGCTGAGTGATGCATATCATTAAAGGCTAATTTTACCTCATGAACAGAAACACAGACAGATTTTTTTTTTATTTTAACAGTCATTTCCTTTACCAGCTCAAAGGAGCTGCAACTTGCATGTTACAGGAAGTAGACAGAACTGTCATGTTGCAAATGAAATAACACCATCATGTCAGGGAGCGACAACCAAAAGACGGTCGCTGTGGATGCTGCTTTCCTCAAATCCAGGAGGGGGATAGTCAAAGTGGCGGAGATGGTGAGATATCTTTGTATCTTGTAACATTTGGCATTTTGCTGCAGATGTGAAAAGGTTAACATGTCCTTGTATGGAACTGCGCATGTAAAAAAAAATGAAAAAAAAGGAAGTGAAACAGCTTGTGAGGCAGTTTGCTAACAGGAGTCCACACTTTGTTGGAAGCTTTTCAGAGACTAAGTCGAAAAAATTGACACAAATACGTAACATTTTTTTTCTGAAAAAATTCTGGATTGTCAGAAAGATGAACAATGAGTCCATCTGCAGATCTCACATGCACCCTCTACCGAAAGTTCATTGGAAGTTCTTGCATACATTAATTTCCTTTTCTATCTCAGGGAACCCTGCTCGTTGCATTTGTGTGTTTCGCTGTTGCCTCCACGCCAAAGTACCTTACGGCCACGTTGTTGGAGTTTCTAATCACTCTGCTTCTGCTGCTTTTGTACCTACTGAAACTCAACAAGAGGATCACATTCCTCTTTTGGCCTATTGTTGTGAGTGAAACCTTACCACACAGCACTGCACTTTGTGCATTTTGTAACATTTAAAGACACCACATGAAAAAGGATAAAAAAAAATTTAGGTGGCGGTGCTAACCATCTTTTTTTTTTTTCTTTAATTCTTTAGGATGTTTTCAACTCAGTGTTTGCAGCGATCTACCTCCTTGTCTTGAGCCTCATGGCGTTGACTTCAAACCCTGTCACTGGAGCACTGGTTGGAGGGGTGAGAATTGCCTTTGTAAATCCAGAATTAAGATTTAATATAAAACAAAATTTAAAATAAACAATAGTGACGCTGTGGTGGCTTATGAACCAGGAGTTTAACTGGAATTTGGCCCCAGAACAAAATCCCACCACAACCTTAGAACGGCTCTGAAATTGGCTTGTTGATTTCAGACTTAAAAAGCTTCAATCTTTATTTGAAAGTACACATTAATCAACATTAGTACCATGTTTCATAATATAATTAATTTTCATTTGCCGTCCCCGGCAGGTTCGTGATACTAGATAAAACATTACATGATGTGTTGATGTGTAAACGCTCTGCTCTGTATTCACAGGTGGTGAGCCTAATTTCAGCTGGACTTCTATTTGTGGACAGCTACACACTTTTCAGAAACATCACATTCAACAAATCGAGAAATGAAACGCAGAATCAAAGCAATGAATAAAAACTACATAGTCATTGAAAAAGCATTAAATGAGGCCACAAGCCTCACCAGCTTAAGAGTTTATCTGTGTTGTATTTAGAGTCTGTTTTATGTTTTTCAGTGTTTCTGGCCCAAATTTCTACATTATGTAATACCAACATGAGTCATTTTTTGGGAATAGTTATAACAAGTGAAATGCAAAAAAATATTTTGTTCAAAAGTAAGTCTTCAATAAATACACACAGCACACAGTTACTACATAAATCATATCATCATCTATGGCAAACTTGTCAGAACATTCATCATTTATTTTCTGTCCTATTGAAACGTGTTTTATTTTGTGAAACATGAAATATGCTAAAGAATTATCACCATTTGAAGCAAGTTATCAATATGTCAATGTATTTCTTGTATCAAAAAAGTAAAATGTGTAAAATAGGAACATGAAATATTTAATCTGATGGGAATACAAATGAGGCGTTAGGGAGGGAAAATGACACCGATATATATATATATATATATATATATATATATATATATATAAACATATTTTTGTTTGGAGAAAATGGATAACAATTTTCACATGATTTTCTGCATCTTGCGCATGTTTGCTACTATCTATTGAAGTCGCCCTATCAGTGACTTGTCTATATGTCTTGAAAGTTGTTTTTGTTGCTCAACTGTATGATTAAAAGATTTCCATCGTGACTTAATGGACTTTATGTTTCCTCTGAGTGTTTTTGTGGGGCTGTGCGTTCACGCAGCTGCAGCGGGCATCACGTTTCACATCTGGAGCTCACAGATGTTTCACTTTTCTTTCTTTTTTTTTTGAGCTCTAGTTCGGTTTCCGCGCTGTCATTATTTCCGTTTCCACCTCCCAGCCTCACGCCTCCAACACAGGCACAGTTTTTTTTTTTTTTCTCTTAGCCTCGAACCCCGTCGTTGTAGTTTAACTTGAAGCCTTCAGCAGTTTGGGGAGTGTTAAATCTTCCAACAATGGGGGACATCGAGGCGCCCGACTCGAGCCAGCAGCCGCGCCAGTCTGTCCTGATGTCGGTTCTTCCAAGCAAAGAGTTTGCTACTTCAAGGAAGGGAATGCTGTTGATTGCTGAAGGGGTAAGAAACAAGAGGAGCGAATGAAATCCGTAATAAACGCTGCTGTTTTGCAGCGAATACTTGCGAATGCTCAAGTTTGCACGTCTTGGGCACTTATTGCGCCAGCAGTTCTAGCAGAGAGAGGGAGAGAGAGAAAAAGCGGTTTCCACCACACATTTGGGAATTAATCAAAAAGTTATTCCTACGTCCCTACATGCTGATGTGAGTAAACTAAAGAGTCTGATAGAGATTGCTAACCTATGTTTTGGGCTGAATCCGTCAAAGATCTGTTCTTCAACTGTTTTCCTCTTATGAATAACAGTCCATAGGAAGCATCTCGAAAGTGAGTTTCAATAAAGCAGGAATTGATACGCAGTTTTGTTGGATGGGGGCGATGGGTGGGGCAGGAAATGAACATTCATGATTGAATTTTAGGCTCTTCTTGTGATAACTGCACTGCGCTGTAAGCATGTTGTTTTGTTGTCATGTGACACTGTGCTCTGGTCAGGCTTTCTGGAGATCAGTCATCCTCCCCCTCAGTCACATCCTTCACATTTTGGCCTGGAGCACAGTCTGCAAAGCTCTGCTGCAGGTCAAACTGCAATCACACACACACACACACACACACACACACACACACACACACACACACACAAACACATTAGGCTACTGCTTCACAGACAAGCTGTGATCTACATCTGTCTTCAAAAAGATGTGTCTGTAGAGGAAGTCGAGTAAGTGATCAGTTGTGTTTCTGCTGCAGAGGAGTGAATACTTCAGGGGTTTCTGACGCTCCATGGTTCTTGTATTGTGGTGATCTTCAAAGAAATTAATGCCCAGCAGGCAGATGTGCTAACAGAACACATTTAATCGTGAGTTGTTGCTGGAACTTTTCACAAAAAGTACATGGTTAGTGTTTGAAAAGAGCGCATTTTGTCATTTTAAGTTATAGGCAGTTTTTTTTTTTTTTTTTAATTAAACACGTGTGTAATTTTAAATTGGGGAAAAAAAGTTAAAAAAAATCTTGGCTGGGTCTTGTCTGTACATTGTGGTTAGTGTTTCTTACTCATTTGTGCTGGTCTGTGCTTCTTTTGTCATTAACTTGAAAGAAAACTGTGTTTCTCTGCCTCTCCATTCCTTATGTGTGACATTTACACAGACTAGCTGTTGAAAGACCCAAACAAGCCACAACATCTTTAGGCTGAACTGAAATATCTTGGACTGTTCAACGAGGACCACTTTAGTTTTTCTTCATTAAAATCGGGATTTAAACTACCCTGTTGGTGATACTTCTGCGATTGAATGTGTCTCTCCTGCAGGTTCGCTCTGGTCATCCCCAGATTCAAAATAGTTTAAGAAAAGCTAAAGGAGTTTTCATTTGAATGTTCTGTTCTATCAAGAGACGTGTTTTCTATTTTATCTCTGACCAACATGTTGTCGTTGAACTTGGATTTCTAGAGCATCTTCTGTTTTTCACAAGCTGCTTTAAGTAGGTAATGAAAACTGTCTGATAGTTTCATTCAGCCTTCTCTAAAGATTACACTGTGATGTTATTTTAATGCCTCAGTATCTCCTGAAAGAGTGGCCTGAGTGAAAGCAGATCTTAGGTCTGCCTTTCTCAACAGTATGAGACTGATAACCTGCTGAGCGTGCATTATTAGACACAGTGTCACCAAGTGGACCGTTGTGTTTTGTCATTATGTTTCCCAGATGCCATCCGACCTGATGCAGAATCAATTATTGTGCTTCTGATATGTTTGTAAAAAAAAAACAGAAATGTTTTATTATGTCTGAGACTAATTCGAAACTGAAACAAATTATTTAAAGGAAAACCTCAATGGGAAATATGTGTCATGATCTGAAGAATGAGCCGAGTTCTCATTTCTGATCCAAAGTTGACATTTGTCCGTTACATACACTCATCATAAGCACGACTGCTACATTCATTTCTAGTAATTATTATATGTCAGAGCTGACATAAATAAAAGCAGGAGAATTTACTTAAGATTTTCTCAACTCTGTGCAGGTTCATAATTATGCTGTACATACAGGCTCACAACTTGGTAAAATGCCTTTTACCAAACAGCACTTTGACCACAAACGTCGCCTGCCTCAAAAGGGAGCGTCGATGTGTGTGTGTGGGACAATTGTCTTGTCGGAATATCCAATTTTATAAAAGTTCAGAACCATCTGCCAGGTGACGACTCAATAAATTTGATACAGGTCTTTGCCTTTTTTCATTACAACAGTTGAACAAATAACAATAATTATCACTCGGCTACATGTACATGAATGTATTATGTATTAATCTCTTGTTGTAACATTTTACTCACAGGTTTGAATCTGTAACCCAACAGGAAACATGACTCGGCTTGTAGTGACGCATGCATTTCATTTTCCCTGGAAGTGATTCTTTCTACAGGAGCAACAGTTTTAGTTTATTTTTGCTCCGATCCGTCGGGTCGGAGCAAAAACAGCTGCCCAAGACAAAGACAAGATGGTCGGGGACGTTTGAGATTACAGTGTCTGCTTTCATTTACTTGCTTTCCTCTGTCCATCTCCTCGAGTCGAAGCTTCAAAGCCAAGACAGGCTCTGTCTGCTTGTAAAGTGACTAAGTCCCTGCAAAGCGTCCTCTTTCATTATTCCAGTTTGGTGTTTGCACACGCGTGTTTGTGCTGCAGGGTGGGATTCGGCGTACAAAACGTTGAGTATAAACATTGACTTAAGCCGTTGTATCTCTCAACAGGATGTGAGTCTCCAGCTGCAAGCTGCACCAGAAGTTGCAGCTTTCATCAGGCCGGAGGAGATTGAATCAAATAAAAGCTCAATTTGGATGAAGAGATAATAATCTGTTAAATTTGCCTCTGATTTTTAGCAAGAAATTTAAAAAAAAAAAGATGTACTGATTTTTCACTTGTATGTTTCGCAAGCACTGAGATTCGTTTTCTCCTCGTTGCAGGCGCTGTCCTTCATATCCTTTGTGTGTTTTGCTGCATCAGCAGCAGCAGCCTTTGTGACAGTCCCCCTGCTGGCGTTCCTGGCTTCCATCTTCTTCTTGTTTGCCTACTCTACCAAATTCAATGAGAGGTTTAAGGGCTTCTGCTTTCCTCTGATGGTGAGAGAAGTTTATTCTATCAATGTAATGGACATTTGTTTGTGTTTTTGTTTTTTTTATCTTTTTCTCTCTCTCTCTCTCTCTCTCTCTCTCTCTCTCTTTCTCTTTCTCTCTAAAGGACTTCATTAGGTGCGTGACATCCTCCATTATCTTTTTCATCATCTCCATAATGGCGGTGTCCAAATACCCAGATGGTTCCTCTAAAGCTGCAGGGGTAAGGTCTACCATTAAACCAGCACAGTATAGTCAGTGTCGTAACGTAGGACGGCTCCATACCAATCATTTAAAAGATTATCCAGGATGTCGAAGGTCTCTGCAGGCTTTGGACAGGATCTCTGGAGAGCATCAAGAAGATAGCATGTGAAACCATGTGAAAGTTCTCAGACTATTGCGCAACATTTCTGTGGTCAAATTGGGTTCGGCTTTTACCGTTGTGGCAGGAAGTCAAGATGCTTCTTGGCTGAGCCCCGTAGTGGCAGGTGGCAAAAAAACGTGCAGAATCACGTGCTTTCACAGTAAAATTTACACAAACCTGATCACCAAAAGGCGATCGAATCTGGTGAAAGGGGGGCCTTGTCAAATGCTAACAGACTTCTAGCTGTACCGGTTTGTAACGTCATCCAATGTTCTTCCATTGCAGATCTTTGGGTTTATCGCCACTATTGTTTTCGCTTTAGACTTTTATGTCATTTTCAATGAGCTTGCTGGATTTCTAAAGCAAGGAGGGGAGTCCAATGAGGAGCCTGCAGGACAGAGAGGTAACAACACAAAGCAGTGGCAAGCAAAGCAATGAACTCATATGAAAAAAATGTACAAAATGTTACATTTACCATACAATGTGCAAGTAGATAGATATGTAATACAGCTATAGTTCTTAAATATGAACTGTAGCTGAAACTAATATCCTCTGATTGCCAAAAGATTTTTACCGAACAATTCCAAATGTGTTCTTCTTATCATGATGACACATTTGATTCAGTTGAGTCTTTTTATATAATGGCAACTCAGCACAAAACCTCTCTTAAGGCACTTTATAAACAATAACAAAAATATAATTAAATCCGACAATAAGGGCAGATTTGAAGTACATGACTGGATAAGAGTATAACAATGGTTCTGGACCTGATGTCTCCCCCTAATATACAGTTTCATTGGTTTCTTTACAATATTAATTACCTAAGTCATTCATAGCTGACTTGCAAATTTACTCCGCTCTAAACTCTGCATCTATGGCACTGAAATATTCATTAAATTTTGTTTTATGTATGGTTTTACTCTAATCAGACCGCATTGTTAAAATCCTGTTTTTATATATGCACATATAGGTATTAAACTATCTATCAAACATAAATATTATTAGTTTCGATTCTACCAGAGGCAAATCAGGCACATTTCCTTCCCTCTAACTTAGGGATAGGCTTTATTTTAAGCAGTTTTCATAACCCAGTTTGTACAGAGGAAATTTAAATTCGTTTTACTGTTGAGAAATATTTCATATGAAGTAGGATGCATTGTACCATTTTCTTACTTAGCTGACCTCACAGGAAGCAAATGCGGATTTACCTGACTGTTTTGTTGTTTTTGCTTTTTAGATGACTTTTCAGATTCAGACTCAGATTGAAGCTCGTAAGCAGACGTGTTCAAAGCAAGGAAGTGACCACTGCGCTGAGAAGCCACTATGAAGACCTGCAGGAATTTCATAATTTCACAAAGTTTCATTGGTACATGAAAAGCATAAATCCTGACAGGATTGTAGGAGCGGGTTAACATGCTTTTATCTGAAGTTGAGGGTCTGGAAACCATTTCTTTGTAACACATTTCTCACAGTGCTGTAAACTGGTGTTGCGTTTCTACACTTGCTAACTCTGTATTTGGTTTAGAAAAGGATGCAAGTAGTGACCTGTTCTGTTTTATTCCCAAACCTGTACTTTGCTACTAATCCACGTTTGCTTTAGGGGAAGCATTTGATTCATTCACACCATCCAATGCCTGATACAGCTGTAAAATGGTGCTGTGCTGAGTTTCTGAAACTATTTCTACGGTTAAAGAAGGATACATCACAAACATTGATTTTTGGGAAATTCTTTTTGCTTTGAGATGCAGAGGTGTGCAAAAGTCCTGAGCCAGTCCTGATTTTTTTTTTGTTATATTTCGCTTTGTGCGGTGGAGACTTTGCAGCAATTTGGTAAACCTGGTTAATACATTTGCATTAAAATCTAAAAGAGAAAGACGGGGGGGAAAAAATCACAGTTACAGGGTTAACAATAAAACCCGTTATGTTTGGTTGGCTGGTTACAACTATCACATTGTGTATGTACAGTAGGTTTTTTTTATTATTTGAGGTCAATATGGGCCTGTCTTATCAATATTTGTTTGCATGTTCCTAATTAGTTATTTTTTTGATGTAATCAGAAGAAAAGAAACTCCTAGGAAAGATGTGTCGCTCCTATAAAAATATTCACCCACTCAGACATTTCACCCTTTGAATTGCTTTTGCAAATCAAACATGATCAACAAAATTTAGATTTTCGAAGGAAATGTGTACAAAAAAAAACAATTTAATGTCAAATTGAAAACTAACCCTTGCAAATAAATAAATAAATATATATATTTAGGATAAAACAAGTTGTTGCATAACTGACTGACCCAATTCAACAGATGGGAGACACTCTGCCTGCAACAATTGTTGCCCGGGTTCTTCGTCAGTCAGTTTTAAGGGACAGTGGCATTGAGAAAGCAGTTTTTGAAGAAAACGTGTATCAAGGCTCAACCGAGTTTGCAAAAAAGGCAAACAGGAGACTCCGTGCTCAAGTGGAAGAATGTTCTTTGGTCTTTTTAGTCATCAGATAAGATTGAAGACGTTGAATAATCAGGAAATCATTTCATACTGAACGTTTTTTTAGTTTAATTATCATTATTTTGCATAACTACATTTTCAATTTGACATTAACGGCTTTTATTGTTAAAAATGTTGCCAAGAAGCAGCATTTTGTTGATCATGAGTGATTTGTGAAAGCATTAAAAATGGTGAAGCATCCAAGGGGGTGAATACTTTTCATGGACACTGTATGTACAATATATGTACAGAGACACAGCAGATCAGCTGATCCAGTTTCACCTGATCTGCCACTTCTGCCTTTTAGACCCTGAAAGGCAGAAGTTGCAGGTAAGCTGATTGAGTTTCGTAGACATGTTTTGTTTCTCGTACACACTTTGTTAAAATGTCTGTCTGTCTGATTCTAAAGTCTGTAGAGCCGCCATTGAGAAAACAGTGAGATACACTAGAGTGCCTTAGTGACTGTTTTGTGTGATATAAACTGCACTACAACATTGTCCCAGCTCTGATGATGGAAAATATGTTGTTGTTTTTGTTTGTTTTTTCTACTGCATGATTTATGCTTGAAAGATATTGGAAGATTTGCTTTTAACATATCTATAATCTTGTCAGTTTTTTTTTTTAACATGACAAGATTATAGATATTAAAAGCTTTTAATGAGTTTCAAATGATTTCTGTACTCTAAGATGTGAGAAAATGACTTTTTTCAGTATTAGCATAGTTTTTATTGCTTTCACAAACTGTTGAATATCAAATATTTTGTCTGTAATGTTTTTGTTTTTAGGCAAACTCTTCTGAATAAAAGGTTCTTTTTCAATATTTGCCGCTTTATTTAAGGGGATGCTTCCAACATTTTCAATACAAATATACAACCTGTACATGAATGGGCCCGGCATGCGCCTTTACCAGAACCACACCAAATGAAAAAAAAAAAAGAAGTGCAAAAGAATCCAGAAACAATCAGAAATCTTTTTTTGTTTTATCCTGCAGATTCTTAATAGCATAATCTAGCAAAATGCTGTACACTGAAAGAGAGGGTGAGCTGTAATCAGGCTGTTTTTAATATACAAATAGATGGCCAGCTTCATAACTAAAAAGCATAACGCACTAGTTTAACTTTGTCGCTGTAAATGAGCTTATAGCGTTACTCGAATGTAAATTTACTAATGAAGATTACAAACATAAATAGTAACATGATTGTCTTTGATGCAAGTACTTCAGTCACAAAACTAAGCCAATAGTAAATAATTATGTTAATTAAACCGTTAAAAAAAAGTCATTAAACATTCATAATGCCATTTCTGCTTTAAGCTAATTTCGAACAGTTGCACACCATCCTTGTCCGTCCTTCGAGATCCTGGACAAATCATCAGGATGTCAGATTTCCATCCCTCACGCCGCCCGTATTTAGTTGTCTCGGTGTCGTAAAAAGGAGACGCAGTTCAGATGCAAACCATTGAGTGGAGCCATTGAGTCATTTTGGAAACTAAACCTTACAGAAGTTTAGTCCAATTGTGTGCAGATTCAATAATTATATATATATATATATATATATATATATATATATATATATATATATATATATATATATAAAAAATGCTTCCTTCATCCTCAAAAGCAAAAGATGATGCTACTTTTCCAGACACATCTTCATTATCACCAGAGAAACACTGGCCAGAACAAACAAACAAAATAACATTAAAGGAATGTTAACTCTACTTTGTGCTCTGCATGCTTTAACTTTCCAACAGACGCAACAAGGAGAGACACAGCATTCAGGTCGAGGCACCCTGTGATTAAATTTAGATGCTTTCTGAGTATCACACAGGAGGAAAAAAACGGCGTCCGTACCTGAGATCCACCTTACAGCCCGAGGAGGCAGAACTAAATCACCTAAGGTCTGGATTCACAATGTGGCCTGGATATGTCAGAGTATCCTCACTGATTGATTTAATTTTAGAGAAGCAAAAATGACATTAAATATTTTGGATCAGAGGTTGCTGGGAATACATGGGTTTAAAAAATAATAATAATTATGATGCACTTTTATAGCAAAACACTAAAAAGTAAACAAATGTCAAGATGAGCTTGAAATCTAATATTAGAAAAAACATTTTTGGTCGTCAAACCACAAAGTTGAAACAGATTTTCTTCCTGTTGTTATTGTAGTTTTCAAGTCAAACGTTTCCAATCATTCATAAAATCTGACCTCACAGTGTTTTCAAGTTAAGAATCCCCCCCCCACTGTGCTGTCACTGTGTGACTCCTGGCAGCAAATAGTTTTACCGATTTCAGGTTACAATTTTAAAAGGCGATTATAAAGTCTGCCAAAAAAACAAAACAAACAAAAAAAAAAAAACAGTCATACTTCATCAGATATTACGTTCGACAACCAGTCTTTTCACAGGAAGAAGCTAAAAGCTGCAGGACGGAACAATAAGGGGACGACCGCAGGTGAAAGAGCTGCTTGTCCATGGAGCCCTGGTCCACAGGCATATTTCTACCACTTATCACTCACTGCCTTCAATCACAGTGAAAGACAAAAGCTTGCAAATGTCACCAGTGTCTTCCAAGACACGGAAGTGGTTCACGTCTTGAGTTCTGATCCAGCTTTTCCTGTGAAACAGTTTCATTTTGAGAAGGAATCTCAATGACTGCACAGCCCAACTCTGGCTGTTAAATGAAGCTTCATTAGGGATCACAACTTTCAGAGGTCCAAATCCCAACTGTATGCTCAACGGGCCAGAGTCGCGTCCATCTCTGTCAGCTGCCGGTGCGTAGTTCATCTGCGGGCTCTCACGCGAGCTCAGGTCGAGCCTCCATTTCTCCACGGGATGCCGTGCGCGCTCGCATGTACTCGCTGGTCTGAGCGGCCCCCTGACACCCGTTGCCACGGCGCCACCTCCGTACCGCCAGGAAGGTGTTTAGGCCGAACACACCTGTCACCAGGAAGCCGAAGACCTGCGTTCAAGTGGAAACAGGAAGCAGGAGAACAATGTCTGAATTTGAATGGGAAGCCGAATAAGTGCGTGATTAAAGACTTCTCAGTTGGCCTCTGCTGACCTTTCGCCAAGCTAACACTGTAAAACCTGCAGCTGAGATAATCCTTAGTAAGAAAATGAGAACTTTCTGAGGTAGGAGCTCATGTTTCTGCGACATAGCCGTTTATTCAAAACTGAGTGGCTTTTACTTTTTAGCCTTTAGTGAGTGCAGCTTTACAGCTGAAGGTGTATTCATCCGGGAAACTTACTACTGCTGCTTTTTCAGCTCCTGTGTCGTGGTTGATGCAGGCCAGAAGAAGGGACGAGAGAAAGAACAAAAAGGTGCTGGTAGCAGTGTTAACCAGGTCCTGAAGGAAGACACACAGACAGCAACGTCCATTATCACAAGGGATTTCTTTCACAAAGTTAGACACAAAACACCACCAGCAAATTAAAACATTTACATTTTTCATCTAAGGTCCAAGGCATTTTTCTAATTGTTTTGAACAAAGCCCTGTTTTCCTTCAAAAAAGGCAGAGCTGGTGATAACGGATGAACAGAGGTCAAAGGTGAGTTTTCAGTGTCTAGGAGTTTATGTTGAATGCTCATCCCCAAAATGATATAACCTTACTAATAACAGAGATAGGAGTTACATTTTAAGATGTTCACATCAGTTCTTTTGTAGCCGTAACTGACGCAATGCATTTTTATATTTTGTTTCTCTTTTAAATTTTGCTTTTCATCATCATCATCATCTTCTCTTCATTCCTGTTGGTTGTTTCAGACCATTACTGCGCCATTGCTGTCCGGCATGATCAGTCTGAACTCTGGTTTAGACAGACAGACGATGTTGTTCTTCATTTATCAAACTTTCACTCTTCCAACCAAGCAAACTGCTTCCTGGTGTCTAACGATGGACATGAAAACAAAAGGAGCAGGAGGTAAGAGCAGAACACAGCTAAAACATACACACCCTCTTTACACACATACTCCGCTCCCCCACCCTGTTTTTATTTTTAAATAAAAGGAAAACTAATGGACGCACTCCTGTTTCATGTCCTCCTCTGCTGTTTCCAGCCAGGAAAGGGTTAATAGTGAAACCCTTAGGTTCCCGGATCTCGTGATCAGATGCATGATCGAAATCATTACAGACGTGGTCTCTCATGTGACACAACAAGGCTTAAACAATGGCAAGGTCCCACACAGTGACTGGAGTTTATACGTGAGCGCAGAAACTCACAGCCGAAAAACAAAGGGCAAAAAAAAAAAAAAAAAAAAAAAAAACAGTTTACGCTCCACTGATCAGCTGTTTAATCAGTAGTCGCTTTTTCCCCACATGCAAAGTGGGACAGTAGATGAGCAACAGAGTTGTAATGCAGACCTTTGACCAAAGGATGCCCAACATGAATGTCAACACAGCAGGTTTTTCAAACAACACACACTCCCATCTACCTGCTGGATCTACCATCAGCTGCTTCTGATTAGATGTTCAGCTTCCTAAACATTCCCCGTCCAGTCACCCTGCTTTCATCTGCTGGAAAATTTGTTCACACTTTTTTTTTTTTTATTATTTGAGGTTCAGTTTTTGTGTACTTATTTTATGACTGGCCTGTGTGCCAATTGAAAACCCCCTTTCAATCAGTTCAGCTCAAGCGGCACAAGGAAAAGCCTGTTTTCATAAATGTTCTGAAATAAACAGAGATTAACTTTATGACCATTTTTCCAGAGCATTTTACAATTATTAGCTCGGCTCACTCAAGTTAGAGTGATTTATTTTGCCTAATAAAGTCAGGGAAGCCAACAATGTCAGCAGGTGCAGCAAATTGATTTGCATGTAATTTGTGAAGTATGAAAGCTGAAGAGAGCTGTTGACCTTTGCATGAAAAATGCTTTTTTCTTCACTTGTTTTCTTTTTGCTAGATTTCAATACCAAAAACCTTTAACAGTTTATTTTTAATCCCCCAGACAAGCAGCCTTAATTAGTCTTTATTTATCAAGAATTGATTAAAAATCAGATTCATATAGCTTTTGAAGGTTTTGTCGTTTTGACACAAAACACATTTAAATGCATTTCATTTATATTTTATGTGACCAAAACAGTAGCATATGATTTTAAAGGAAACTAGGACAGTTTTCAAAATTTTTTTTTTTTTTTTTGCAAACCCATTTTCTATGGTTTTATTAATAAGTTCTGATAAAATGAATTGCCTTCAGAAGTCACAAACCTAGTAATAAAGCTCATATGTGGGTAAGATGATCCGTGAACGCCTCAGAGCCCTGACTGAGGTTAAAACGGTAGAGATGTGCCAGTTTAATATATCCTAAAGTAAAAGAATGTGAACACGTTCACAGGCTGTATGAATATTTTTAAGGTGATTTTGATAAACTGACAGCCTTAAATAACATCTAACAAGACATGGACATCATGATACTTTGGAATAGTCGAGATTTTTCCCAGAAGAAGTAGTTTCTGTACCAACTGAAAGAGTTAGTACAATTCTAACAAGTTGGCAGAACTTCATGCATTCCTCCTGCCCGGTGAACAATTCAGGACTCTATCTGTACTTTGACATGATGACCTGCTGGCAAAAGGTTGGCTATCAGTCTATCTCTGCAAAGTGAGTCTAACAAGTCTTCTTTTTTGAATTTGAAGGATACACCTGGCTTAGGTACAAAGTAAGAGACCGTTTTGTTTTTTTCCTGCAAGGCTCGTTAGCAGCTCCCTGTCATTGTACGTGGCTAGTGAGCGCTCAGGTTTGAAAGTGGAAATACTCACTGAAGTGTAACTATGGAAACCCCAACGACAGCAGCAGCAGAGCGCTGCTTATGAAATCTATTCTCCTGACAGTTTCTGCGAGCCTCACAGGGCCAGGCAGCCTTGTGCAGGAATAAAATGATGAAGGCAGTTTTTTTCTTCTTCTTCTTCTTCTTTTTTTTCTGTGTCTTATGTCTGCCTGGGTGGTGGACTTCGGCTGTCAAACCCAAGAACGCCTTTATTGGATTCCACTTCAACTAAAGTAAATAAGACATGAGAAAAGTGGTCTCTGGGCTGGACTGCTGACAGATTAACAACTGATGCTATAAATAACTAGAAACCTTCACTGAGTGTTTATTTAATGGGAACTTTCAAACAAAGAAAAAAATAACCATCTGACTGGATCTTGGACGTTGAGATAACAGACTGATATCAATGAAATGCAAATGCAGCATTTTTATCACAGTTCATGTAAAATAAAATACATGTGTTAAATTTAATACAGATTGTTTTTTTTTTACAGTTCATCTCACTGAGCATCTTGATATCCTACTAGAATGTAAGCAGATTTTACATTTTAAACCTTTCAGCTGAATGATGTCCAAGCATTATTCAGGGTGGCTTCGGCTTGTGTACAGAAGTTGAACATTGTCATTTCATACCTTCAGCAGCTGCTATATTACTCTGGTCTGTTATTTTTCACAGCATTCTGGACATGAAACATTCACCTCAGATTCTACAAATCAATTAAACAACGAATATTAAAATAAGCTTCTGTTCCTGAATTGTGGAAGCTATTTGGCTGCTTCTTTCAGACCTGATTTCAGAATCGGTAACACGTTTTATTCTCTGCTAAAGATTGGCCAAGCCTGCAATAACTTTAGATTTTTGAAAACCCAGTTTGTTGTCTGCAACATAACTTTGATCTTTGAAATGAGTCCATAAAAAGCTTCAATGTTTGATCTGGTATCTACAATCGAGCCAGTTTAGAAGTCACAGGATCAGATTCACTAATATGTGAGGGTCAAAAATCTATTAAGATATGTAATTTTTAAATGTGACATTTCTTAGTAACTCAAAACAGAACTATCGATTAGATGGACAAAAACATAAGTTTAATTTGGCAAATCAATAACAGGAATGTTACGAAGATAAAAATCAAGGAAAGTCTAGTATGTCACAGAAATTCAGAATTTTATTGTTCAGGTAACTGAGCACTCAATTTTGTATGATTTTTGGTTCTATACTTATCCCGACATGGGGACAGGATGACTGAGGGACAAAAGATTCTGGAAAATTTCAGGAAAATTTCTGTGAGAATTTAAGGGAGTTTTATCAAAACTTTCTTCTCTTTAGGTAGCCCCAGGCTTGTGCTCTGCGCTCAAAAATGTGACTCAGTTTGACAGATCATCTCAATACACGCTGCAAGGCCTTAACACCAGCGTGGTATGCACTGTGCTATGTGCATGTGTTTGCAAAGATATACTCAAACTTGTTTACTTCCATAAATTTTTGCAAATTCCCATAAATTCCCAGTAGCTCCTGAAGAAACTTTTCCATTTTTCGGAATTTCTGAGATTTTGACTAAACTGCCTGTAAAGCAACAACAGAAACTCAAACTCAAGCAAAATAATTATAAAATGACGAATAACAGTAGCGTCTCATTCTGAACTACACTGGTCTTGACCCTAAATAACTACATTGTGGCACGGCCATCGGTCTGAAACGTCCAAAGTTCAGTCATGCATTCATTTTGATTAGATGCTGCCTGTTCTCAGAACAAACAACCAGATTGCATTGGACAAACAACCAAACTATCCAAACTGCTGCTCTCTTTCTAAAAAGAGACCTCCCCCATTCTGTACCCCCCCCCCTTTTTTTTTGCTCTAATTGTGTCTGATTCCTTTAGTGTTGTCCTATTTCTTTACAGAATCTCTTTGTGTGGCACTTTTTTTTTACTATGAACTGGAAACCCCCCCCCCCAAATAATCTAGGTGGTCTGAACTGAAGAGCTAGATCCTCAAGTTTAACATAATCACTGGTAATGATCAAATGACTTCACAGGAAAGTCCCGAGATTCAATTAATTTCCTTGTGGAAGGAGTCAGAGTCAGTCAAGGCCCGCCCTCTTGGCTGACAAATTAGTCACGAGAGACGAATTGAAACAATAAAATCCCGCAGCACAATTAAAACCCTCGACCGAACCATGCACCAGCTCAGCACCGCACGAGACTACTGTGAGAGCAGTTGGGGAAAACAGGGAAGCAAAGCAGGAGGGAAACTGTTGGTTAAGTCTGAGAAATGTGCATTCGTAGTGAAATTCCCAGCGGCCTAATGTGACGGAGGCAGCTTTGAACTTTGCAGACGTTCTCGGCATGAGGCTGAGCCGACATTCAGCAGCGCAGCTGAGCTTTCTGGGCTGGTGTGACACAAGGGTTTGGAGCTGCAGCAGAACTTGTGGAATCTGGAAAGCAGCATCTACAACAATGAAGAAGCTTCGACACATTTTCTTCCCCTCACTTTTCCTAAATAATAATGCAGCCACAAGTCAGCCCACTTCAGAGTGAAGTATTTAAAGTTGCACAGTTTGAGACACGATTTGTGTAGTTTTCATATTCAGTAACTATTTGTTTCATTTTTGATCAGAAAAAAGGCAAAACAAAACAAAATAATTTCATTTGAACAAGGCACAGAAGATGAAAAGTGAAAAGTCTCAACATGAGGATTTTAGATCGTGTGCACCGCAGTGGTCAAAGATGTTGGGTAGAAATTCTTAAATCAGCGCTTTTTAATTCACTGTGGCCTCTCAAAAGTCTGTAAAAGAGCTTTGGTTGCACTGCTTCCAAAAGAGCTGGAGCCAAAGCCCACCTTCTCCTCATGTTTGAGGTGGAACACTACACAAGAAAAACCATGAGGGAATCTGATACCTGTGGTTGGGTTTGGACATCTGACTTCACTGCATTGCCACGATATTCGCTGTAAGCTGTGTGACCCCTGAAAATACTGTTTTGCAACGTGGCCAGGGTCTGCAAGGAGAACACCGACCGGCTCATTTGCTCACAGCTGACGAAGCAAGTCGTCAAACTGCAGGCTCTCTGGATCAACGGCTTGCTGCAAGAGTTAAGCCTTACTGCCTTGCTACGTGCAGGACTCCAACAACACGATCCGTTCTTGGAAGTAAAACTTGAGTAGTGCAGTTTCTACTCTGAAAATATTTCAAAATCTTCCTTTAGGTTTGTCAGAGGAGGTCAGAAGAGTACATTTTTCTTAATTTTTGCAGCCTTGCCTTTGGACTGTATGGGTGAAATGTCTTGCTTATCCTCCCATGAGCTATGATAACCGCAACAAACAAACAAAAGTGCCATTTTATAGCATAATCAAGTAACTATGTTGTTATAAAAATCCCATAAATCAAATATGAATTAAAATAAATTTTACTTCCTAATTTAGTGCCTTGAAATTGGGCCTCTGTCTCGTTAAAAACTCCTGCCCTTTCTGAAACTCCTCCTTCAGGAAGTCATCACAACAGCGCTCCTCTATTAACCCTTCGACAGCGTTTTTACCAGCACTGAGAAGGAGCTCCTACAACGAGCTCAGCAAATGTGAAGTTCCACCAAGTGTTTGCTAATTGCTGCTGGCTAGTCTGAAGGAGCTGAGTGGGGCAGTCGCAGACGAGCGGCGCTCTGTGATGCAGAAGCTCGAATGATAGGACAATTCAGCTCCGAAGAGGATTCGCATCACGGGAGACTAATATGCCATTTTGAACACAATAAATGTATCACTGTTTACAGCAAGTAGCCTTGCTGCTTTAAGATCAATAGAGCTACCTTAATCGTCACAACCCATCAGACTGGTGCCTACTCCCACCTCGGTACGTACCGTCAGGTTCCAGTTGACTTGGGGAACCTTGATGTGGAGATTGAGGCAGAAGATCAGGAGAAGGACTCCGGTCACCACGAAGGCACTGCAGCTGACAAACTCAAATAAGTAGACCCCTCCACAGGGAGAACACATCATGATGGTCTCTATGCAGATAAAACTGATGAGTGACAGGACCTGCAGAGATCGGAAGAGCAGAAAGTAAAGTTTAACACTGCACATCCTGGGCGTGTTTGTGGTATTAAAACGCTATGAAAAATTAGCACAGAACTAATAACACTGTTTACCATGCATTTGATTAAAATCCATGCTGAACAAATGTTTGAAATAGAAAGACAAGACTACATCACTCTTTAGTGAAGAGATTCTTAGTGGTTATGCTGGTCTAAAGCATGAAGGTCACTTTATGTTCAACATTTGACGAGACTGCGCTGGAATCCCAAACTTGCGAGTCCTATGAATAGACTAAAATGACCATAAGCTTTTCTCATGAGAGCTGCTGCCGCTGCTGCTGCTGCTGCTGCTGCTGCTGCTGGCAGCCTGGGACGACGCCTGACTGCAGCCAATTTCCATCAACAAACCACAAAATGGGAAAGAAATTCTGCTCTTTAGGAGTTTCTATGCCATCCAGAGCCCCAAAAGACACACAGATTACAGATTAGCTTTAACATACAGGAAAACCAGGAGACATAACAGCCGCGAAGGAAGATGCATATTTTGGACCTAAAACAGCTCAGCTAACATACACAGAAATCCTATTAAATCTATGCGAGAACAGTTCATTTGGATTTAACTTCACTTTTTTAGAAATTTGTCATATTTAGACTGTATTACATGTTTGATGTGTTTTACCAAGCACCATATTTCCACTAGCAGTGCCCACGGTTTTTAAAGAAGTGTTTGACAGCCGTTACATGCATCTATGTGACAAATGCTTGGTAGGATTTCCAGGGAAAAGCATTTCTGTCCTTCCGTCACATCTGTAAGCAGGTCCTTGTGAGCGTGGCGTCATAAACGTCTTGAAAAAGCTGAAGGTTTCTTCTAAAAATCTGACACCTTGTGACAGAAAACAGAAAATAGGAAACGGATCACTGTTTGGTCCTCTAGCTGGATAATGATTGAACCCCCACTTCCCCCCACCCAAAAAACCCCCCAAAAAACAAACATGACCAAAACAAGACAAAAATATTTCAGTCACAAAATCAAAGACTTTGTTCTATGCCCACCTTTGCCTTCAGACCTTCACCTTGTGGGGTGAGCTGATGAAAAGAGAGAATGAGAGGAGTACAGGCTGTCCAAAGAAAAGTGAACAAAGAGTCCTCTCTTTATGTTGCAGCCTTTTTACAGGAGAAAATAAGAGCTCTCATGTTGGCAAAGGGGACAATGGACAGTATTAACAGTAGGGATGATTACGACATTTTGATAAAAGCAAAAAGATCTATATTTTTCCCCCTCAATAAACGTAATTTGAATTATAGGGTGATTTTGTGTGTGTGCGTGCGTGTGTGTGTGTGTGTGTGTGTGTGTGTGTGTGTGTGTGTGTGTGTGTGTCCGTGCGTGTGTGATATTTTGCTACGGCAGCAAATGATTCATTTAATCTAAGTTGTACGTGTCAGTAAGTTGTGAAAGACTCCTCTTGTTTGCTGCAACAATCCTGCAGATTACTAATGCAAGATATGCAAGTAAATGTTTCTCTTTGGGAGTGTTGTAGAAAATACATTTTAGTAAATAACTGCCTTAGGGGAAATTTTAAAGCACCTGACTAAGGCTGACGTTTTTATAGGCACTCAGCTGCCCCGTCATGAAAGGAGACTCAAGCAAAATTGATCAATTATGGCAGTTTGCTCCTGCTAATTTTACCGCCATTTTAGATGCCACCATATGTAAATGTGAAATATGTGGCCTTAAAAGGATGCGTGGCATCCTAAAGAAGCCTTCAGCATTATCGATTAATGATTGATAACATGGATGATGACTTTATGGTTTAATGTGTTGTCAAACAGGAACTAATGAACCTTCAAACTACAGAAAAGACAGTACGTGTACATAAGATATTGGTACTGACAACCCGGCAGCAACCTTAGGATTGACTGAGCACAAGTAACATTCAGACTTGCAACAAGCTGTGCTGAAGAGCAGCATATCTACAGGAAACGTCTTCCTGTTTGCCGCAGAGCAGGCGCAACGGGGGAATTGCACAGATGGGAGATCAGGAATGTGCACAGTTTATCTTTTTCAACTTATGATTGGAATAAAAAGAATAAAAAACCTGAGGTGGATGTGTGGGCGAAACAGGACGCTAAAAAAAATTGTAAATGGGTAAACTGTCAGATCTGTAAAAACTAATTCAATTCCATGATAAGTCTTGTTTCTCAACACTTCTTACAAACTAATGGTCCCAATAGCAAGGAAAGCTATTTTTTATTAACATTTCATAAATGTAAAAATTGGAACTAAAGTTGACATGCAGTTCAATTTGCTTGAAAACTGTGAAATACCCATTTAGTTTAACTATGAAAAGCAATCAGAAATTCACACACCAGCTAGTTCATTCAGGCCTAATTAACAGACTGTCTATGTGAAGCGATCGTGCTGCTCTCTGACACTATGGCATCCTGGGCAGTGAGCCACACCACCCATCTGAAAAACAGTCGCAGACTATCACCCCCTGTTTATATCACCGACGTTTACAAAAGGAGACTCGGATCATATAAGGCTGAAGAAGAAAATGTTTCATCACTGTTATTTGGAAAGACTGTTTCCGAGATTTCAAAACTGGGACTTTAGTTTGTTGAATATCACTCTTTTTTAAAAGATGACACTAACAAAATCGGCCCTTTTTCTGAAGCAACTGCATATTAAACCAATAAAAAGAAAAAGAAAAAAAATAATATAATATGCCCATCGGTGCAAAACAGTGAAAAACGTTCTCAGCCAACAATTGTGAGAATAAAGGGCTCCTTTAGCACATGTGTTCGGGCCTGAAGTTGTGTGTGTAGTTGGACGGCAATCCGTCTGTGACTGCAGCATTAAGTGCAGGCAGAGAAAAGTGGAGAGCTGCTTGAGCTGAGAGATGATGTCATGTCTCAAGAGGAAAGCATATTGCTTCCACAAGGTCTCTGTGTAGCAGGTGTCAGGCGATCGCAGGAGAGGTGGAGGAGGAGTACAAGGACCATGCTAAATTATATTATAATGATTTTCATATCGACCTTCACTGATATGCAGCCTCCTTTCATCATGATTATCCACACCAGCTGTCTCCTTCTTGCCTCCTGTACTTGAAGGCATGTACTAATCTGCAGGATTAAACACACTAGTTGTGTATATAGACGCATTGGACGCCGATCCCCTTGTTACACACCATCTGTTATGAAGAGGTCTTACTCTGCAGGCTAAGCTACGTCACAGGCTCTGCACCTCGATGGGCTGGGACGATGTTCTTCAGCTCTTATTGAAGATAAGAAAGCTGGTAAATTCAGTGTGTTTCAGTGCATATTTAAGGCCTCTGAAAATGAAAGTTTAGTCAGAGAAGTCTCTCTCATTGTAACTAGTGATATCAGAGCTATACGATATCAGAATTTGTGGAAATACCATCTCAAACAATATTTTCAGTGGTGTATGTTTTGCCATGAGGGTTCCAGCTCAGTGGGAGCACTGTCAGGCTCTGAGGGGTTTCAGTTTCTTAACAGTGTGTGTGTAGGGACACGTGGCGAATACTGGCTTGTTGACCCAGTCACAGCACAAAGACAAAGAGAAGCCTGCTGCCACGCCAGTCACACCCTGGTCAGATTACATCAGTCAGCCCGGGTCAGGTTCAGTCCGTGTATTCATCTTAGGAAGACCAGAGAGGTCGAGGGGATTGTTGAGCATCTTGGTGCAGATGCATTTCAATTGCTCTAGACTAGCATGATGACGTGTTGATTAGTTTAGCTGTTTGAGCATCAAGCCAGACAACCAGCACCGTTAGCGCAGTGGCAGTTTTCAGTATGAGCTCTGTGGCTCATCACCCTGGGTGGCTCAGCCAGGGGGCGCCACCAACGCTGCCAGTTGCTTCCTGAATTAGTTTTCTGTTGCTTATTTGCATGTGCAGCAAGTGGAGAGAAATGATAAGCTAACATCATCGTTTCATAGTCAAGTAGTCGTAACTTTAACATCCTTAGAGGGGTTAAACCTGAACTGGATCATTCTATATCAAACATAGACCCTTTTAAATATTCAAATTCTGGAAGGAATAGTAACTTGGGGGACAATGAAGTGACTTCCCCAGGGAACCACTGATGCAAGTACCACCACTGCTTTTATATGTGGTAGGTTAAAACAGGGCCTAGCTAAAGTGATAATTAGGTATTGTTACTAATGTGCTGCTGATGCTTTTCAACTGAGACGTTTTAATGATGTAACATGAAGTTCATAAAGGCTCTTTACTGCAGACCTGCAGTCTATGCTGTGGTTTCACAACCGGTTATGCAAATACACACAAATACTCTCTGGTCGGCTTCATAAAGCAGCATCTACGTTAAATGCAGGTTCGGTCAATGAAACCTCAGTGAAAGGAAAAAATGCTAAGTTATTAGTAAACGTTGCTGATTGCTCACTGAGCATTCCAAGATACTCTTTCATTTCGCTTGCTACGTTAGCAGAGTCAGTTCCTGCATGAACGTAAGTATGGCTGCTCACGTTATCTCCTTCTAGAGCCTCTCCTGTTTGTCTCTGCATCAAGAAAGTTTCAGGAAATGTAAAAGTCCTAATAGGCTGCACATTAAATACAACTAGATGTACACTCGGGGTATTTGGCATTCAGAAAATATTGTGTAAACCACAGAAACAGTGCTATGAATGTAGGTTTGAAAGAATGCTACCATAACATTGCAAAAGTACAGTAGTCGCATCAGGAAAATATCACTAAGGCAGCTTTTTCCACTGACTCAACATTAATTAATCAAACAAAGCACTATACACAAGTGATAGCATGAGTTTTCCGATGTGTCTGTAGTCACTATTATACAGCATTATGAAAAGTTTTGCACAAAAGAAAAATAATTCTTCTGGGGTTGCATGTCATGAGGAAAAGGCTTTCGTTTGCAAACACTGAAACTCCCTCTACATTGCAATAGTTATATTTATTTGATTGATTTTAAAAACAGATTTGTTTATTTATTTATTTTATAACTCCTTGTGTAAAAAGTCTGAGTCTAATACACGTTTATTTGAAACAAGTCATTAGGAAGTAGCCACTGAAATGGGGAGAGGACGAGGCTTTCCATCACACTCCTTTCTCAGCGCAAAAGGTTGAAAACCAGACGAGTTTATGATTCATAATGCAGATTCACGATTCATATTCCGCCATGCCTAGTAAATAAATACTTTTTATTTTGTTCTGTGGGGATGGTAATGACTTCCTCTTGTAACTGTATAAAGTTTACTCATTTACAAATGACACAGCCATTTCCTGCTCAAGGATCTCTTTCCAAAGCACAGCACAGTCCTGCAGGTCATTACACGCAGCCAGCTCTGCATTGTCTGATCTGAGCTCTAACATGGTCATCATGCAGCCTTGGACTGCTCACAGAGAATTGAAATTACAGGTCGATGGAGCTATTAGCGCTTGGCTAGAAGTCGGTAAGGCTCCTCGGAGATGCTGAGTGTAGTCTTGAAAGACTTTCATTGGTCCTCTCTTTGTCGGTGGAGGACAAATATGACCACCTCAGATGGAAAAATCATTATCGCAGCGGAACAAGCCACTGACACAAACAAAGACAAAAGTGTAGCAGGAGGATAAAAAAAGTATCCGTAAAAAGTATTAACAACCCCAGAGTTTTATCACATTATGCCACATTACAAGCTTAAATACATTTTATATTTCCTGATAGACCAACAGTGGAAGGAAAGCAGTTCATTATTTTCAATAATTTTGAAGGGTTTTTTTTTTTACATATAAAAGTGGGTTTCAACTTTGTATTCAGCTCTTTTTACTCTGATACCCCTGAATAAAACTTAATATCCAGTGAAACAGCCTATTTACAGGACAAGTACCAGTCCTGCAGTCTGTCTTTTATGAAAGAATAGAGAGAGTGTTGACTTGTTAAAAGAATGCCAAAAGATTTCCCCTCCACAGTTCGCCAAAAGCTACGTGAGGGCAAAGAAAATATATGACAGATTATTCTCCTGTGAATAAAAAAAACATAACTTTTTGTTCTGCATGAAAAAAAACACGATGTTGTGGAAACACCCTTACAACACCAAAGACCATGAAATATGATCATCATAATGTTGTGGGAACTGTGAAGCTGGGTACAGTTTAAGGGAAGCCAAATGGGGCTAAATAAAAGGTGCAGTCCAGCAAGAAAACATGCTAGATGCCAAAAAGACAAATAACATCAGCGTATAGCTAGGGCTTCCACGGAATGGTTTATATCAGAGTATTTTCATGCGTTAGAATTTCCTAGTCTCCAGTGTTTAACCCTGCTGAGAAATTTTGGATGTGACATTTGACAAGCCAAAATTTCATTCATTAGATGTGCAAAGATAGTCATGACACCACAAGCTGTGACTGCAACAAAAGGTGGTTAAATTAGAGGACTCTATATTGTTGCAATTCTCACACCGCATTTGTAAAAACTTATTTTTATTTCTCTCCATCGTAAACCATTCTCTTGGGTTGGCCACAGAAAAATCCCAGCTTTTGTTTGTAATATGACAAAATGTAAAATATCCCCATAGGTATGAAAACGTTTGGACTGCAGGACATTAGGTAAGTTTAACTGCATCTACCTAAAAGTATTTTAGGGGATTATAGCTACAGGTAAAGGCTTTCAAGCTAGAACGTGCAGCTTTACAACATTTTGGGAGCAGATTGTTATTCTAAAACTGACATTCTGCACTTTCGAATCAAACTGATAATAAAGAGATTACAAGATTATCCAACTTAAGGCATCGATAAATAAACCTCTAATCTTTATCTGATTTATAGATAAAAACAAAACAAAGACCATCACAGAACATGATGTGTTTTGGACATGTTTACAGAGCAACAAAGTGGGAGTTTTGACTTTTGATGCATCATTTAATGAACAGAAATAAAAGTCAGAATTTTCAGTACTAAACCCGTTGTAGCTAATCAACGTTTGGGAGAATAATAGCCTACCAAATACAGCGGATCTTTTCAATTGCAATAAATTGCTTTGGCTATTATAATTCAATATATTTTTTGCAGTTCTTACTGAAGCCAAATGCATTTACAAATGTTAGAAAAGTTACTAATCATAGTGATGAGACCCTCTTAGTTAAATCTCTCTTTTACCAAATCCAGACAAGGCATAAAGTTTGTATCTGATAATAATGAAGGACTGGACCTCAGTGTAGGCTTATACTGCTAAATAAGTATTATGGTTGCCTTTCAGTGCATGAGTTTATATTGACATTATTTTTGGCATGCAAAAAAAAAATCCATAGCGCTTCCTAAGTCCTGTTTGTCTTCATAGAGAGGATGTTTGCTGCTCATACATGTTTATGCACAATTCTGGGCAATACGTAATAACTGTGCATCCAAGCACGGCCCCACTTGAGTCTGCCATTGCAGTCCATTACCACTTAAGCATTTCTAGCTAAACAAAATAAACTGATGTCTTGTGCTGCAGCTGAGTCAAAATCAGGTGGTATTTGAGCATGAATCTACTCAGCAAGCTCCAAACTTCTCCCACACTGATGACAGATGGCTTCCTATACTACCTTTCCCACATGCACAAAGGTAAACACCGCAGGTGCGTGCAACAGCTGAGACTTTCTGTAATCCTCTCGCACACTCCAGCAGGCTGCCAGAGAATTTAAGCGTTTCGGGGTTTTTTGGGGGTTTTTTTTTACTGTAAGCCAAGCTCTAAAAGTGAACAAAAGACGGCTGCACCAACCGTTTGGTTATTTAGGTCACTTGTTTTGTACGTAAACACTGACTGAGGTAATTACTACTCCATGTTTCCTGTTTTGGACACACAACACTTTATGTGCACAAGTGTGTGCTGTTTCGAATTATCTGGCACCAGAAGAAGAGAAATGGTCAGGCCTTAATAGATATTTCCTCCACTGCTGAGTTTTATCAGATCTTTGGGAGAACTCGTTTTTTTTTTACCTCTGATCACAGTTCAGACGTTTGGTTACAGCACACTGGTCTACAAAAGTATTTCTGGGGACACTAACAAACAGTTTCCCCACCAAATGTTATCAAACTAAGTCCAGCTTAACATTGAGGGAAAACCTAACAATAAAAGCCTTACATAGATATGGGGAAATTGTTAACAGTAGTTCCATGATGCTGCAAAGTGACCTCTGCTTCTTCATGGGTTGGTGATCCTGATGTGGGTAGTTCTGCGTGCTCTTGTTATTCCACAGATTCTTTTGGCAATTAAGCTTTGAGTTGATCGCATGTGTAAGATAAATAATTCATAAGAAATGTGACAAGGAAGCATTGCATTCTTTCAGTCATACTTAAAAAAAAAATCCTATAAAGATGGATGCTTCATCCAACTTCAGTGCGTTATTGGCTTATGTCGTGCGTCATAGTTTGATATATTCAGATACACATCTGTGAGCGGCGCAGCTCAATGTTTGCTTGAACTCACCACTTCCACCGCCTTCAAAATCCCGAAGTAGGACACGAGGTACTCCATGTCGCACCTCATCGCCCCCAAAACGTTGCGCGAAAGGACGGGCTCCGTGGTGGGCTGGTACGGGCTGCTGGCCCCGGAGATCATGGACGTGTTGGAGGCCTCGCCGTCAAAGCCCTCGGTCTCCTCCGTGGTCCTCATTGTGATATTGGGAGAGGCTGGACCCTTAGCAGCAGAACTGTTTACTCACAGCATAAAAAGAGGGGGAAACGCGCGGCGGTGACAGCACGCCAGGCGTTTACGTTGCGGCGCAGGCTGTGTGGCGAAGAACAGACTTTGTTTCATGCAGGCTAGAGGTGGACGGAGAGAACAAACCAGAAGGTCCGCTTATCATCGCCTCATCCTGGGGCAGATGCTCTGGAACACGACGCGCAGGCAAAGCAAGCTGCAGCGTTTCCTCCTTCTGGCTGAGGGAGCCGCACTTATTCCTTGGGTCACTAGTTCGAGTCCCAGTGTTCGTTTAGTCCGGGCGAGGTTGGTTATTATTCAGGTCACGCCTAATGTGCCTCATATAAGCGAGAAAAAAAACATCCGATAAATTTGGTGCTGAAGAATGCTAAGAGATCCCCGTTGCCTTCCTAACTAACTCAATTACAGAGGCGCGCAATGATTTGGTCGCCGCTTTGCTTGCTATGGATGGAAAGCCAGCTTGTCCCCGCCCCTCTGAAAATCTGCACATTCTTGAGTAGGCTCAGTGCCCGTTTTATTCCCAAACAGCCTGTAAAACCATTTCAGTCTGAATCACGTCGAAGGAGCCGAGCATAGCTGCAGACTATTATCTCTCTACTAAACTATCAGTTTGATTCTGGAGTCTTTTGCCCCCAGTTCTTTGTCCTTTGAACTCTTTGTGACTCCCAGTTTAATGGCAATATCTGTGGGGCCTACTAAGCAAAGAGTAGATTTCATGTAATACTTGAAAACAACTACATTTTCCTCTATACAAGTTGGTTTCCCTCCAATACGTTAAAGTAAGCAATCGTCGGCACACCACACTTAAAGAATTTAAATAGTCTCAAATTTCTCATTGAAGTTCAGTTTGCTTGCGCTTTTCTGCCATCTCGTGGTGAAAGCAGGTATTACAAGCTACAAGATTTTAAAGCCTGAAACTAGAAGGCCGATTATGTTCTTTAAAATACTATGTAAATATGAAACATACCTGCATATGTCAAACAACAAATCAGTCTTTGCACATTCACTGCCCCATTATTATCGACTTGTTTAAAATGTATACATAAACAAAAAATGGTCCTTTGAGGTGGAGTTTTGTTTGCAAAGAGGACAATAAGTATTTACTTGTCCCACTTAAAACAACCTGGAGACATAAGTGTTAGACATTAAATCTAATTTAAAAAATCTAGAAAACCACATCATGTCATTTTGAAATAATTTAAACTGATATGTGATAAAACAGAAGCAAATAAATTCAAAATCCCAAAAGGAAATTGATCCCAAAAGGAAATTAGATGTTGCAACTCATACTATTCAAGGTACTTGAAAGAGTTGTTGTAGATGCTGATGGCTGTGGGCAGGAAGGGTCTGCTGTGGTGGTCTGTATTACAGCGAGGGACAAGTTGAAACGGGAGAAAACAAAGACAAACAGGTCTGTGAGAACCAAGAACGCCTGCTGGTTGGTAGGTGATCAATTTATTTCATGCAGCAAAATGCACATTGGTTATTTAAAAACAATACAATTTAATTGATTTTTGCTGGATTTTATGCAATTTTTGGATACCGTCTCACACAGTTTAGGTGTACCTATGATGACAACTGCAGACCTCTCCATGCTTTGCAAGCGAGACATTTGAAAAATTGGTAGGATAAGAACTCTATAGTTTATGCTTATAAACTAGAGTTAAAACATTCTACAAAAATATTAACACCAGATAAAAATGTGCTTAGATTTGACTGGATATGCACATTCAAATGATCTATTGTAGGTGCACATTTTGAAGCAGTACGTTTGAAGCAACAGCTTTATAAGAAAATTTAAAAATAAAAAAAATCAAAAAAATCAGACGGAGACATAGGATTCTTGGTTTTATTGAAGCCAGGGGTCTGATAAACATTTTCCTTATCTTTGTCAGCATAAGAAGCTAGGATCCACATGGCAGCTTAGAGGCTACAGAATTGTGTTAAAGACAATATACAATCAACCTTCTGAATTACTCCAGACACAAAAGAGCCGGCCATGTGCTTAAAAATGTCTCAGTATCTTAAATATAAAAGGACTGGAAGCAGAAGCTCGTAGTCTCGCATAGATGTAGACAGTCAATAGTGGTTGAAGGCCATTCGGTTAGGATGTGACGAGGCAGCTGATTTCCGCTCGCATCCGAGTACAAAAGTTAATTTCGGTATTTTATTCAAATCAATCGACCGAAGCAACGTCCGATCTCCAACACAGAGTAAGCACGGCACTGAAACCGAGTGGCTTAATTTCAGCTAAGCGCTTAAATTAAGCCGATGTGGCTGTGTGTCGTCAAAACACACCAGGGTGGTCGGTCAAGGCAGAGGCATTTTAAACTGAAAATTCAGAAAGGCAAAACCATTGAGAAAAAAACAAAACAAAACACGCTTAATTTGACAGCAAACACAAAGGGCAAGTGTTGAGCAAAGATCCAAACATGTATATTTTACCAACTACCAGCAGGCTTACGAGAAATGTCCTATAACTTCATATTATTCTTGCATAATACTAATAATGCTGCCCTTTTCAAATTCTGACGATTTCCTTTCTCATTTTTTCTGAAAGGGGAATTCACTCCAATTTTTAGACAGACCAAAAATAAGAGATAAGGAACTTCTTCTATAAATGTCCAAGGAGAAGTGCTTATTAAACATGTCCGCTGCTTCTGGTTGATTATAAATTGTGCTTCATCTAGTCCAACTACAGAGAAGAAGAAAAAAAAAGCTTAAAAGCTTCATCTTTAGCAAAAGTAAATGCAAAGTAGATAATAATGATCATTTTAAAACAAGCCTGTTGACCAATGTAAGATACTTTTTTTTTTTAATTTTCCGTTACACCTTTTGAAAATAGTAAATTCAGAGATAAACCCTGTGTGCCAAAAGTTACTTTTTAAGTGGTTTAACAAAATGTATCCCTAACCTACAGCAACAAAATACTGTAGAGCCCATTAACCCCCAACCAAAAAATGATAGATGCAGTTGAACAGATGAAGCTTTTTCTACCACTTTACAGGGTATTAATAAAAGTTGAAAGGCAGGTCTGATGAGTGGAATGAAAGAGCTTCATGCAGGAGTAGCACAGAAAAAAGGCCACTGGTTAATCTAATGGAAGACATACAAATGCAGAAAGTAAAGACTACTAAGCATCTTTGGTTACATGTTCCAGTTCCCACCGGTTCGTTCCTCCCTTCGCCTCACTTGAATAGCAATTGGCTGCTTTCCCCAGACCATTTCAATAAAAGCCACTCCACACTGGATATTATCCATAGGATTAAGCAGGGCCTTGCATAACGAGCTTGTGCTAACATTTTTGGATTATGGTATTAAACTACAAACTTACTCACTTTATGATATGGTACAGTATGCCTGCTGCAAGTAAAAGTTCAAAACAGTAACGACAGAAAACAATCAAGCAACCCCTTAAGGACACGCAAAGTTAGGATCTTTCCTGTGAAGGCAAGGGGGGCCTAGTGTGGCGAACTAAGTCGCACATTGAAGGCAAAAGGTCGTCGTTTAAATGGGCACCAAAGTAACAAAAAAAACCCCAAAAAAACCACATGAACCAACAGGTTTCCTATAGGGATGTGTTTGTTTCTCCACAGACTTCACGTAGAAAACAGGAATGTTTTTTAACCGACATGCAAAGTACAGCGTGAAGAAAATGTGAAACCAGAGGTGAGAACAAATGCCGTCTAACACTGAAGAGTAAGATATCTTTTGTTTTGTTCAAACCACAGCACAGAACTGAATGTGTGTTGGCTGCAGTGAAGTGGTTTCAGCCAAAGTTGCTCCCACCGCTTTCCTTCTTGATATAAGCAGCCAGTGCACTTGAAGGCAATTACTCTGTTAAACGTTATTAAAGAGGCCACAGAAAGCTTATTTCTGAAAAAATAAAAAATCCAAAAGCTGACAAAAAAAAAAACAAACAAAAAAAAAAAAACATGAAACAAAATAAATTAATTGGGGGACAAAACAACAAAGGCCCTAAAACCAGTGGTGCTACAGTGCATTTCCTCTAGTGTAGACAAGCACCTCTACTACGACACAAACGGCTAACTGTGCGAGGCACTTAGGAGTTATAGTAGGAAAGATGCTGCCCAACCCCTTCCCAAAATATACAAACCTTTACCTAAAGAAGCAACGCTGCTGCAACCTCTAAGCCCTTCAAATAATAAAAAAAAATCCCATCCTGTCTCATTTAGTCAAAGAAGCTATTTTCACTATTTGGACAGAAACGCGTTTTGTACAAAATTAAGTTAACCTGAATATTGTTGTGACGCTTTTATATTTACAGAATCCTTCGAGATGAGCGAGGGCAAATGATATGCTATCAGCTGTGTGGACATGTCATATTAGTGTCTTGATGTCAGTGACATTTTAACATGTTGCCAATAAATGTTTCCTTGAACAAAGAAATGGTGCGGAAAATAAAATAAAAAGGAGGAACTTTGTATAAATACATCAGTATCATATTCAACAATTTTTTTTTCCTTTTTTTTTTACATATGTTTGCAAGTATTTCAATTACTTTTCCTAACATTTCATGTTTAAATATCTTTCCAATCGCAACCAAAGATTCTTCCGCGAGATAAGCTGAACCAGGGGCCACGAGGCCGAGTGTGTTTTCACTCTTCGGAGTCCGTGAGGACAGTGTTTTATCCCAGAGACGGAGGAGGCCTGCAGCACCAGCGCCTCGGACCGGCTGCCGGGGGGGGGGAGGGAAGAGCTGCACACGTTTCCAAAAACTGACATCCCTCACAAAATAGCATTTACAGTTGAAGAGAAGACAGAAAAATAAAGCCAAGCCTTCCGGCACTTCCTCATCTCACTAAGAGATCCGTCTGTGTTTATCGCTCATCCCATCTCACCATCTGATCGCATCGGAAGCTCATTTGGTGAAACCGACAGTGTGTGCAGACTGATACAGGCGTTGGGAATTTGGTCAAATTTTTTTTTTTCTTTTCTTTTCTGTTTATGCTCACATGTAGATGTATGTTTTTTTTTTTTTTTTTTTTTTTCCAGAGTATTAACGCAGTGGACGACGCAGCCGTTTTGTTGCCTTCACGCTTCGTTCTCTGTTGGCGATACGTTGTTAGCTGAAACCACGGAGTCTTGCTTGCGAGTCATCCGGTCCAACTCGGCCTGGACGTCAGTCAAACCCGGCTTCTGCCCTTGGGAAAAAGGAAAGAGAGAAAAAAACCCAAAAGTAATCTCCTGTAGCTTCTGTGTTTTTGTGGAAAAACAAAAGCAAATTTTCTACAATCAGAAAGATGATGATTTAAGAGTTTGAATGGGGATGCGGTACAATGATGGTGATTGGCGACTCATTAACACCCATGCAAAACTATATATATATATATAAACACAACATGTAGTCATGCACTAATTCTTTGAGTTTGCTCTCAGATGTTAGCGGCGCTCAGAGCTAGAGCAAAACATACACAAGTGATCTGAGGCAGCAAGGAGTTATGCAGTGACTTTAGTCATAACACAATGTTTGACTCCATTATCTTAGAAAGATAAAAAAAAAAAACAATAACAAAATGGACAAGGGCTGAAAATACAGCAACATGGTGAATTCAAGTGGTTTTAAAACAAAAGGTGGATTAGTTGAGCAGGACTTATTAGTTCCCATGCACACACCAGTGACAGATGCTTTCAGTGGATACAGGCCTGTCTCTTCAGCAGTCAGAAGTCGAGTCAAAGTTGACACCTTTTCATTTCTCCTGAATTAACCATCTTACTCAGGCTGGAGGCATAAAACGTCAGACAGCAGAGCGGCTCACAGCTTCAGAGAACAAGATTCCCTCATTCCGCTGTTACTGTGAAACCAGTCGGCGCTTTTTATCCCGTACAGCATGACATCTTGTTAACTGAACGGTATTGTCATATGTTGCTAATAAAACACGCCTTTTCCCTGTTGGTTAGTGAAGACACTTTTTGGGCGCGCAACAGAATGAGTGGAGCTTTGAAGACGGCATGTTTTCAGGTCATCTTTCCATAATCCACAGGAATAATTCAACCCAATAATCCACTATTAAGGTAGTTAATAGTGGATTAACTATTCGGCTCTGTCCCTGTGGTACGATGCAAAGAGTTACAACTACTTGAGTTACTGGCTGAAAAAATAAAAAATAGTAGAAGTCTTACTTCACCATATGTTTTACTTTTACTTGAAAGTAGTGCTACTCTTAATAGAGAACAATTTGTGGCTACTCTACCCACCTCTGCTCTAGTTTCTAGTTTATTATCAGCAAGATGAAAAAAACAAACTGTTTTTTTTTAAAAGACCAGTTATAAAAGTGGCTCAAGCGCTATCCCTGGTTAAAAACTGAAACCACTTTAGTGGAAAAGTCTTAATTGTGTCAACATTCAAAAGTGACAACTGCAAACCGTGAGAGAAGAAGTTACAACAAAACAGTCACACACCCGAAATAAACAAAGAGATGTTCAGCACTGGAGTGATGCATTATACCTGTTTTCTTGGCAGATCCTTGCACTCCAGCTCCGACTGCTCCAGATCCCGGGCTTCCTGGAGATCCAGTCTTTTTACTCAACAGACTGTTGAAGAAGTTGGCCAGCACTCCCTCATTAGCAGCCCCTGCTGCAACAGAAATGTTTCTGCATTACAGCAGAGTCTCCACATTTTGACCCGACGAAAGCCATCATCCACCACACCACATTACCATTTGAGGTTGTAACGTTAAACTGACCCAAATGTTTATTTCTGATTCCAAATATTGACCATTTACTTCCTTAGCGTACATTCATTGTGTTTTGTTTATATTAAATGCCGTTTTCTAAGCTAAGGAGAAATGTTATAGAGATTTCTACAATCAAACCAGAGTACTGTAAAATTGGATTTTTGCAGATTTTAATAGGTAAAATTCAAGACTAAAACATTTTAAGATGCATGTAATTTAAGACCTGCCAGAATTATTAGAAATAAGTCGACTGACTTATTCAGTTACAGTTAAATATAATGTTCAACTTACCCAGGTGTTTTTTTTGTTTCAAGCAGATGGTCTGGATAACTATTTACATTCACTTTTGAAGTCGGATTTCGTTAAATACAATCTCTGGTTTCTAATGTGAAAGAAATGTTTTTAACTTCCTAAATCTGAGGCTTTGACCTATATCTTTGTTTTTGAGGGGCGAGTTGCATTTTCCGGCTCTCCAAATACACTTCATTCTATACGAATTATATAAACAAAGGCTTTTTTCACTGCAAAGCTAGATGACCCCTGCTCAAACAAATTAAGAGAGTTTTATGAGCAGATTCCCTCTACAGTTTTGCAGAAATGGCAGCGATTAATTCCTTCCCACTGGGCTATTTATTGAAGAACATTAATTTCTCCATTAAGAACATTAATCACAGCATTTTAAACAGTTCATTGCTGTTCAGGGAAACATGTTCAAATTTTAGCAAAGCCAAATGAAATATAAGACTTTTGAGGGGACAATCTGGAGATATTCAACAAGTTTTAAGGCTTCTGACAAACTCCTGCCACTGTCGCCATGTGAAAATGGCGATAACTCTAGGAAAATTATTCTTTTAGTGATGAGGAATAAACATCACACACTAACCTTTCATGTTAGGGTCAGGCTTTTTGACAGAGGCCATTGGTGAGCTGGTTACACTTGGCTGGCCAGCACGACCCGCCGGCCTGGGGGACGATGACATCGTCCTTCCAGGAGATTCCTAAAAAGAGATTAGTCGGTCAGTCAGGAAAAGTCAAAGCGCAGCAAACGTAGCTGGGACTTTCAGACACTCACGGTTGCTCCTCTGGTTGGTGTTGCTGGCTGCTTTGCTAGCAAAGACTGCAGGGGAGAGAAATAGGAATTAATGGCTTCCAACAGCCGCTGATGCATCTGAATTCATGACTGTTTCATGCGAGACACAGAAGGGAGAAGTGGAGGAAACTCATTTTAAAAATATTTTTTTCTCCCGACTGCTTCCTGCTTTATGTGTCCTTAAAAAGGGAAGTTATGTGTGGCATTACTCAAAGGACAAAATACGAGTGTGAGTGGATACAATGTGAGCGTGATGCTATGCAAGCTGCAATTCTTAAGTAAAAATGTAAATGTGAAACACAAAGAATGAGCTGAAACTCACCTGCTGCTTCATCAGGAATACCTGCTCGTCCTCTGCATTTATCTCTTTGTCATGAACCAACTAAAAGGAAAAAAAAAAAGAAAAAAAAAAAAGTCATAAAATCTGTTATGACATCTTGTAACGTCCACTGTCCAGTCACTGTGCCAGCGTTTGCTCTGCCGTACCTTTCGTACTGGAGGCTTTGTGATGAAATCTTCAAACGGATTGTCGGGTCTGACCGTCGTGAGGTTTTCATGCAAGATCCCAATTTTCTTCTCATTATCCCATCCAGACGGACTGAGAGCAAAAGGAGAAGATCGTTTACAGGCGGGAGGGAAAACGAGAGGCGTAAAGAGTTTTGTAGCAAACAATCCAATTTCACTTTAAATGACTGCGACAAAATGAGCAGCTGTACAACAGTGATCAACAGGCGAACAATCACATGCCTTACTTACATGAATACTGCATCTTTCTCCACCACCAAGGCGGGCGTGACGAACTGAAAGTCATACAGCTTGTGCACTATGTATTTGTAAAGCAGATCCAGGTTCTTCTCCTCTTTGACTGAAGTGTAGATGAGCCCAGCGCCATCTGTTGTTGGATTTAGTTAGGGAAGCTACTGACAAAAAGTGTGTCATAAAGAGTCCCATATAAAACAACCTTTTCCCTCCCAAACAACTGTGTACAATTGAGAAATTTGAATGATTACACAATACAACAAGGATACACTGTAAGCTGAATCGTCTGATGCAGGACTGGATGAAATCAAAGTGCTCGTCTCGGAAGTCGTGCTCCTTCTCTAACACGCTGATCGCGTCACACTGAATGGAGTTAAAACAGAGATGGACAGAAAAGGAAAAAACAGCAATAAAGGTGGAGCACACAGAATCCTTAAGGGTGTTCTCCATTCAGTCCTCACAAAACCCAACTTCCAACATCAATTAATTATATCACAGGGTCTGAAAAACATGTTTTGTTGTTTTTCCCCTCATGGTAACTACTTCAGTATTGTATGTGTAAATTAGGCATTAGGGAGCTATAAGTAAACACAGATTGCTGTCTAATGTCCACATAAAAATGTAAATTTGCTGCTAAGGCAACACATGATTTTGTCTATTTTTTTTGGGCCTCACTCAAGTAGTTTGTCTTCCTTCAACAATAATAAAAAAAAAGGGACAAAAGCAATACCAATAAAAAGGAGTGTGCACTGCTTTCCGCTTGCAGCAACCACATGTCTTTTATAAAAACAAATCATACTGGCAACATTTAGTGCAAGGACAATTCAACAAGCGGTGATTAAATTTCAGTGTTAATGAATGTTTTTCCCACCTCTGTTTATAGGACTCCTGGAGAAAGTTAACAAATAAAGTTTGCTAAATGTTTAACGTAGCTTAAAAGCGGTATCTTTAAGAAAGACATAAACACTGTGAAGAGGGCTACGCCACATCATCTCATTCATGGCTATGAAAAAGACGCTTAAAACCAGGATTAAATGGTCTGGAAAATAAGATTGCCTCAACCTTATAGTGCCCTCATGTTATTAAACCTGGGGTTTTTTTTTTAGACTGATTATTTACCTTTGTGCAAACTATTAGCACTGGAATGCCCAAGTTGTGTGTGAGTGTGTTGTCCCCAAGTGGTAACACAACGGCTTCGTCTTCCCCTGATGTCGGAGCCCGTCGGGGGGAGGCTGGGGTGGCATCCTCTGGTTCTGCGTACTCTTGAAAGGCTTTTACCACTTGGGAGTAAAAAAAAAAAAAAAAGAAAGAAAGTACAAAACTTGTGAATACAGCACTGAAATTAGGCAGTGAGTAACAGACTATCTGAACTCTAACAGAAGTTCCAGTAGTTTGATGTCTTTGTTTCGTGCAGTGAAACAAGCTGACCACAAAAATGGACTGAGTTTCATTTGGGCACTCAAAGGTTCTGGCTTTGAAAGAATATTTTTGCTTAGTTGACTAAATTTTAAGATACTGTCCAAATGCAAATACCAAGTTCAATCTCACTTGTTGTGGTTTCTAACAATCTATGAACCTAAACTGATGTTTTAATTGTGCAAAACTTGAAATCACTCTAAAATTACTATAGGAGTGTGTCAACGACTCATCCAACATGGTTCCCTAAAGAACCCAGAACAACATCTGAAGCACTGCAGGACTCTTACTTCAGCTGAAGTAAATGTTAATGAGTTAACACAAAGAGAGATGTGGCAAAAGTTTTATCCATAGGGAGCTTATGGATAAAATCCCTGGTTAAAGTTATTAAAATCCCTGCTGGCCAACAAAACACCATAAAGATCTATTTCACACTTACCAAAACGTATATTAATGACACCTAAAACTTTTGAGAAAATATTGAATGAACTGAAAAGACAAATATAATTCATTTGGTGTAAAACCATGTTTCAGAAAAATAACTTACTGACAGATTTGGCAATAGTAGAGTGATTGTTAGAGGCTGCTTAGCATCTTCAGCACATGAACAACTTTCACAATTTATGGAAACATCAATCCTGACCTGTACTAGAAAATCCTGAAGGGGAACGTCAGACAATCAGTTTGTGACCTTAAGTTCAGAAGCACTTTGGCTGTGAAGCAGGACGATGATCTAAAACTCTCAAAGAAAGACCAAGGTGAAGATGTTTGTGTGTGTCTGAACTAAAATATGATTGTGGTGCTGTGGCATGACCTTAAACAGTTTGTTCATGCTCAAAACACACTCAATTCAGCTAACTTAAGATAATTATGGAAAGAATTGGTGTAAAAGACTTCTAACCAGTTTTCACTGTTGCCTAATTGCAGTTGTTGCTGCCAAGAGTGGAACAAACACTTTTTAGGTGTAGGAGGGAATTACTTTTTAAGAGTACTTTTTCCACATACCATATTTTAGATAGCTTGTTTTCCTCAATGAAATTATTTTTGATTCTTTTTTTTCCTCCCCTTAATTTACTTGGATTATCATGAACTGAAACATGTGGGCATGAAAAAAAAATGCAAAGACACAAAGGCCTGTCTCACATTTGCCAAAAACGGTCTTGACGATCCCCAAGACTTTTGGAAAAATGTTGTGTGAATATTTGCATGAAATCACAGCTCTACCCATAACAGAGAATCGGGGGAAGAAAATTAGAAATGACATTCATCCCCGTCCTGTCGAGCTGGAAAAGCTGTCCAGATATTTTCAAAGCTGCAGCAGGAGTTTGGGGTTGTGGGGGGTTATGAAGCAGGAAGCTTTGGCTTACTTCCTCAGGCGCTTAGAGAATGCAGTTTGGAAAGAGCCCATTAAAACAGACAAGCTCGTCAGTTTTGGTCAAACTTTTTTCCTATGAACAGGGAATTCTGAACATCAGACAAGCACTGGTGCTCAAATCGCTCTTTAAGCAAATCCTTCGTGGAGTTTAAGATTACACACAGCCAGAAACCATGTATAAATAGCATTTACAATTTATCAAGAGTACATGGCTTTTTACCACGACCCACAAGAGAAATAAAAATGAGCAACAGGAATCATGCACTCATTTCTCTCTTAAGGAAATAGTTACTTTATTTTGAACTTTACTTTATGTCACCAAGTATTAAATGAAGGTAGCACAAGCTGACAGACTTTGCCCCATCAAGACCTACTTATCTGTTTAACAAACAAAGGTGAGGCCAAAACGCATCTGTACTCTAAAGGAATCTGAGTAACCCATTTAAGTACCAAAACAAGAACACTCATCTGCATTCTCAAAACTGCGCAGCCAGAACGTATGTGCATGCAGCATTCTCAGATATTCTTAAGTAGCAAAAATTCCTCCATTATCAGCAAAGCTGAGAGCAAAAACATTGTCGTTTTAGCACACCGTACTGCAGAAAAAGGCTGATCCTGTAATTTGACAAGAGTAGGCCCAAGAAGCCCAACCTACTTTTAGTCACGGCTCTAGAGCAGTCAGAATATCCGGCCCACTGACTGATTTCAGACCCACTCAGTTTACTTCCTTTCCTTGACGTTGCTCTTGGAAAGGGAAGCAACCATGATGCAAGACATGTGCAAGACTGCCTGGACAAAAGCCACTGACACAGTCTCCCAGACTTCAGCTGGCCCGCCTGCATAACTTGGTCTCACCACTGTGTTACCGACATGACAATGCTGCTTTATTTTAGAAGACACACTGGAAGAGCCTGACAAAACACTGAAATGTAACTGTCAAAGAACTGACCGCAGTATTAGGACCACCAAAGACTGCAACAGCGAAAACTAATACCATCACTGTCCATTATCTGTGAAATTATGGCTCAGGTTGAAAATCTACCAACTACAGCAGATGAGACTAAGGATGAGTTTTTCCTTCTTTAAGGATGCTCAAAATTAAAAAAATAATAATAATCTGTCAAAATCACAACCAGCAGCCTCAATGAAAACCTGAAACTGGCATCAAATGAGAAAGGCCTAAATGTGAAGGCAACCATATATGACCACTTATGATATTAGAATCTTTGAACTGAAGGAAATTCTTCATGAAACTACAGAGATGAGAACCAATTCAAAATGTTTAACTTTAAGTATAGTTTGGTCAAACCCTCAACAGCTTCCTCTTTCTATCGCACAACTTCCTCATTACTGTTAAATTACTTATTTAGCATCTAATACACAGAAAATAAATCAGAAAACGTATGTGAATTTTAGTTCTAGTAATTAGAAGAAAAAAAAATACATTTTGTGTAAGAAATTCTTTTAGACTTTAGAGTAATAGCAAGTTTGAGACTTTGGAAACAAACAAATGTTTGCACAAACCCCCAAAGGCTTAACTAAGTAGTCTGAAAAGCAACAATCTCTCCAAACACAAAAGAACACTTCATAAGCGAGAGATGACCAGATCTAAAATTAACAGGAAAACATCTGAGTGCATCACACTCATTGATTTGCAGAACTCGCCTCCAGCGAGGAACACACAGCTGAGGATCATGGGCCTCTCTGATGATGACCTAGAATCAGCCATGACAATGTGTAATGTTATCCAGCATCTGCCTTCCAAAGAGCACATTTACCAAGCTTTCCTTCTTTTTTTCTCCCCTCAGCAGCCAATCAGCTGGAAGCCTTACTCTCATTACACAACACTCACATTGCTCCCAACCTCGGATGCTTCAGGCACCTTTGCTGCTGCTTGTTTCACCAATTCCCAAAGAAAACTAAACAAAATGTAGATTTTGCATTTTTTTTGAGCCAACTGCTTTTGTCTCCTCTGTCAGTCTGAAGTTTTTGTCCATAAAAATGCCTTATTCGGATTTGCAATCAGTTTCACAACACATTACATTTAATGTTTACGTTCCGTTGGGGCAGAAAGGGGGAAGATGCCAACTCACTCCTCTGCTCCAGCTCTCTCATGTCCTCTGGAGGAACCTTTAGCTTGTCCACATGGTCACGGAGCACACTGGCCCACTTCTGCATCGACTCCATAATGGTCCAGGGCCGCGACATGTCCGCAACGAGCACAGCCAGGCAGTCAGGTAGCGACTGAGGTGTGACAGCAAACTTTAGTAGGCCTTTGTGGTACAGGTCTCCATCCAAGATCCACACATTACAGCGAGTCAAGTCTACAGACAAAAGGAAAAACAGCACAAATCTTAAGACTCTTCCAATGCTTTGGGAATGATTTTGTCTAGTTGTGTTGTTTTGGAATGGGTACGGAAAAGTCGCAGCAGGTAAACTCACCGTCTCGGTCTTCATCATGGACGTTCAAGTAAAGATACTCCAGTCCTCTCCCCTTCTTGTTGTGTTCAGCTCCTTGCAATTTGGCCATAAGCGTTGTTTTTCCTGACCCATCCTCACCTGCAAGATGTTTAACCATTGTATCATAATCAGTAGTATATTGGAAGAGTAAATATGCCCAGTTGCAATTGGTATTCTCCAATTGTTTTCTCACTCTCTGTCATCCCATAAATTTAAGTAAAAAATATTTTGTTGATGCAGAAATGAAAACCTCAAGAGTGAAAATCTTAATGCAAATCATGGTCTCATTTGCAGAGATAACAGTGTCAAAGTCATATCATCTTTGCTAATTTCTTTTTCACAATTAAGGAGTGCTTATTCCCAGATGACCCCACCCAAGAAAACATTACAAGGCCATTGCTTTTTAGTCATGTCATGTTATGTCTGATATTACAGATGCAGTGATTCAGCTCTAACCACCTCAGATGTTTTAACTGCACTCGCCTCACGGTTGACAACAATAAAAAAAAAGAAAATACAGCCCAGAAGAATGAGCGCAAAAGATCAGACACAACAAATACTCACCAAATACCAGGATATTTTTTCCTGATGGCAACTTTGAACTCGACCTGGTTGAAACTTCACTAAGTATTGAGGACCTATAAAACAGAAAACGAGTCAAAAACAGGACGGTCTGGATGTCTGTCATGTGTTCAATGATAAGAGCTCTGTATCTTAAAAAAAAGAGGAAAAAAAAGGTTGAAATCATGACCGTGTTGGCTTCACAGACGGTTCAGTTTAATGACACTTTAGCTGTTATTGAATGAGAGTCCAGACACGAGTCCACGACAGCATAAAATCAGGAAATGATCATTTATCACCACTGACCAACAGATTGAAAAAGAGCAGGCAAGAATCCGAAATCATTAAAACTGATAAGACCATAGCATGATCTGCAGTGGTCAATACTACCCAAAAACACTGTCAGGTTTTCTTAATCTAGTCTGTTAAGGCTTGTTTCCGAATAATTATATTCTCCTGTTCAATAGTTGTACCCTTCATAAAGAAGCTATTTAGTGTCTAGCCCTTCCATCTGGCTAAACTCTAAATACAATCTCTTAATATTATTAACACCTATGAAACCTGACCGATCTAAATACACTCGCTGTATACACACAATCAGAAAAAAGCCAAGCCTGTTTGGTGAAATGTAGCGGAGGTTATGTTAGCTGACGTTAGCTCGTCTGTTAGCATTCAGGTTCAGCTGCTGCTAACGTTACTGCTACAAAGCTAGCCGGGCCGGTGTTTGAGAGGGAGCAACCGGCAGTGACAAAGCACAACCGCCGCGGCTCCGATAGTCCCATGGCGCTCTGTGCTGACAAGAAGCCGTTAAAAGACAGCACGACTTGCCAAAGTGTTTGTCCTTCTTCGTCTTCCTTGTTATTGTCGCCCAGTCCGGCTGCACCGGGGAGCTGTTTCTCCAGAACGGGAGCCATCTTCTCTTCCTACACCCACAAAGGCGAGGCCCTGCTGCTTGGGCACCGCTAGCACCGCCTTCATCCAACTAACCGACGGTACGTTACATCCGTTGACTGCGACGCCGCACCGAGAGCAAGAGGGCACGGCTACTTCTTTCGCTATGTTAAAAACTCAACAGTATAACAGGAAATAATAATAAAAACATGCTTTCAGCGATATAATAACAGACATTTGTATGCAAACCATGTTTGTTAATGTTTCATCTTAAGATGTCAGGTCAAACTTTTAATATGCATTTGGCCATAAGCCAACAAATGATGTCATTTTTGTTAATCAGCTGATGGCGGATACTTTTTCAATGTTGCCAAGGTTGTATGAGGCCCTAAGCAGAAATATATTTGGGGCGCCAGTCAGGGCAACCAGATATTTACATGCACGACATAAAAATACACCATTTATCAGCCACTGTCTGACAAGTTAAACCTTTTCTGTTTCAGCCTAGTATTATCTCAATTGTTTTTATTTATTACACTTTCAGATTTTTGCAATCTGTCTTATTAGTTTCTTCATATTTAGAAGTTTACAGTTCCATAGTAATTTGACAACTTACATTTGAAACGGTGTAGCTTGTGTCAAGTTTTTTTGTTTTGTTTTGTTTTTTTCATAACCTTCTTGTAATAGATTGCTGGACTTTTGGCCACTTTCCCCTGAACAAACTGCTGCACTGGATGAAGTTTTGAGCTCTGCCCATACATTTCACCAGGACTGAGATCAAAACTTGGTAAAAGCCACTCCAAAAGATTCACTTTGCTATAATTACAGCAGTGGTCTGAAACTCCAGTCCTCAAAGGCCGATGTCCTTTTTGGTGTCTCCCTGGCTCCAATATTAGCAGAGTTCTGTAGAGCTTGACTGCATGTTAGTTACGCCGATTATTTCAAGTGTGTAGGACAAAGGACACATCTAAAAGTTGTAGAAATCTGACCCTTTGAGATTACTGCCTAAAGACATTTGAAACAAATTTTGTAGTATTCTTGGGGTCACTGTATTTGAAATGTCCAATCCTACCCAAAGTCTAACTTCTTGACTGATGTTTTGTGATTTTGCTTGTTTATTTCCAGGTCAATTTTGTGAAGTGCACCAATCCCTCCTACAGACAGAAAGTTTGCTGTGGGAGGTGATCACTGAATGGTAAAGCCATTCAGTCGTCTGTGCAGCTTGGAGAGACTTGGAGCAAATCTCTCCAAGTGACATGGCGCTGCCATATCTGTACTCGGTAGTTCAGATACTGTTGTCAGGCTTGCTAGAGTCACCCCCTTCCCTCCAAATGTAAGAGTGATCACTATGGCTAAAAAAAAAATGGCGTTTCACCAGAAGACATGTCTCCAAAATTGAACATCTACATGCATATGGCAATCTGTAATCTGGCTTTTTATTTTGCTTTCAAAGGGTTGATGTTGTGTTTTCCAGCCACATACTGCCATTTTATATCACAATATACTAACTATGTTACCTCCAGTTGTTATAAAAAAAAAAAAGTTCCATATATCAAACATGACTTAAAAAATTTTGATTTCGTAATTTGATGCCTTGAAATCATGCCCCTGACTCTTTAAGAAGCTTCTACTCTTTCCAGTAATGCTTTTCATTATGCCGTTAACTGCCGTGGACTGAGAAGTTATTCATATGATAAGCTCATATCAAGGTTCACCTGCAAGTCAGCTATTTTGAATAGTTTCCTCCCTCTCACCCCCCATTAAAATAATAACTTCTTCCTTTCTGAGTGGCTTTTCAGCCCATGTTGGTACTGGACTAATCTTCACAAGGTCTTGGAGTTGACCTGAACATTTTGCACCAAAACATTTTCATATCTGAGATAACTAATAAATTTGTTATACAAGTATGTGAGTTTGTTTAGTGTGTGCAGCGGTTGACTGAGTGGACATGTACGTGTGAATCTGACTGGATGTTTCAACCCTAAACCAAGTTCATTTAATTTTTATTATTTATGTTTTATTTAATTTCAGTGCAATGCATGATCCTTCTCTGTTGCTGTGAAACAATAATCAACAAGCAGATGGCAGTGTTTCTGCATTTTGGAACACAAAGAAAGGGAAGAGCATTCTTGTAGACCAAGTTTTTATTAACTTTAAGATGTTTTTTGGGGGTTTTTTTGATAAAAGATTGGATGAATCAAATAAAATACAAATATTGACAGGAATTATGATTATTTTACAAAGTTGCAATCCTTATTCAGGAACAGTTGGCAAAGATAGGCCTCATGCTTTGACAGATGAAAGTCATCTATGTTATTGACTGTTTTATTTTAAACCTGACAGAAGCTTTAAAAACTTCAAAACAATACATGGATGATTCAATGCATAGTTACAGGTTGAAAACTTCCCCAAACAGCTGTTATTTCTGACCATTAAAACAACTCCACTGATTTATCCTTGTTCTTTAAGCATGTGGACATCAATTTATTAAATTACGTTGTTCTGTTCTGATACATCATGAAATACACGTCTTTGCTAGGGAAATACCCCGTTTTGTGGTGGAAACAGCACACAAGGAGAACAAGTTGCCATGTTCCTGCACACACCGATCCTGCTGGTGGGCCTATAACGTGTTTTCTAGAAACAAACACCTGTTTCTCCACTCGTCTTTCCGTTTTTCATTGTACTGTAAGGGTCATCTGAACCAGGAGCAGCTAACAGATGAGTTTTACACTTTAATGCCAGTTATCTGAGGGATTTTCTAAGGCCTCCCCCCCTCCACTCTAGCGTCTTTTGAGTCTTGTCTATGTGGAGCTAAGTGGTTGGCTGGGATGGAGGCTGCACTCATGGGAGCGCATTCCAGAGCTTTTGCATCATGTGAATGTCAGCCTTCTCTGCCCCTTTTGACAAAGTTTAGCCCTGCTGTCAGCAGGGAAAACAATCTTTTTTCTTTTTTTTTTTTTTTAAACTTTTAAATGCGGTAAATTGAAAAAGAGATGCAACGCATTTTAATAAGTGCAATTTATACAAACTGAGTTGTCAAATAAAAACTATAATAGTTTCTGTGAAAGTGACAGTCGTATGATAAATACTGAAGTAACACATGCATGCCGTTTGCGACTTCACTGAAGGAGATGAAATGTTCATAAACCGTCAAAACTTCTATCTCCGAAAACTGATTGTTTATGGGAAATGAAAAAGATTTTCTGCCACTTCAGTTAAATGTTCGGTCACATTTTCATGCTTCATGGTTCTTCTGGTACCTGTAGTAGATATCCATCAAAGGATCTCCAGGAGATCAAAAGAGTTGATTCATTAAAAATTGCCAGCAAACTTCAAATTCAGAGTTTTGACCTTTGAACAGAAGAGGGTGCTGTTTGCTCAAAAATACTCATGACATGTTTAACCAAAACCATAATGACAAATCAAAATTTTTTCTTAATGCCTAATCTATCAGAAATTTATAATATATTAATAAAATCAGTTTACTTTATATCTACACTTGTTCAGCAAAGTTCAAAGATATTTTCATTTCGGTCATTAAGTCAAAATGTAGCTTTTACATTACACCAGGGCAAACATAGTTCTAATAAAACATGCTTACTTTTTACTGTCTTACAGTTGTTTCACCCTGAAATTTATCTATAGCAAAGCTAAACCAATACAGGTATCCGCCTGCACTCACCTGTGATTAAATACAAGGTGTGGCAGTTTTGATTGGTCTCACCAAAACCTTAACCCGGTTGTTTTGTCTTCCTTCCAGTTCCACTGAAAGAAATCTTAAAAGACAGACATTTATGGGTGAGTGGTCATGGACAAAGCTGATCTTTTCCCATTGTTTGCGCACAAAACTCCCCATCCTGGGACAGAGAAAAGACTCTGTGGCATTTTCTGAGGTATTTTCCAGAAGTTTAAATGAGGTCACGCAAGGTGTTTTCAGCGTCTCCTGTTTTCATTTTAACGAGACGATCATCACCTGTGATCGCTCCAACGGTTTCCCGAAAGACCGATTATCGTCATCGTCACATGGCGTGCAGCATGAAAGCAACATTTTCAAAGATGACAACATAATTATCTGTAAGGGTCAGCTGTTGAATTTCATAGAGTCTCACCCTCAGCTGGCTTGTCCCATTAACACACAGAAGGCAAATAGCAAAGAGGTGCAACATGCAGCCCTTTCTTTTATTCTTTTTTTTTGGGAGGGGGGGGATACAATCAAATATGGATCTTTTAAATTGGAAACGTCTCACCATAGCAGTGGACATTTTTTATTTTATTTAATGTTGAACTATATTAGAGAATGTTTAAGGATTAGACTTATTCTTACACAATAGGCAAGCCAAAGGCATCAGGGGAAGTGTAATTTACACAAGTGTGCGTGTGTTTTGTCTGGTAAGGTCCTCAAGGGTTTTTCCTGACATGATGCATTTCATGCATAATTTACATTACACAAATACTTCCGGGGATTTACAACTAACACAATTTCCAGACTAATTTGTTGTGAGGGGAAAAAGCAAGATCACGTGAAAAAAAAACCCCCTGCTGTATGAGAAAAGAAAATGGAGGTGGTCAGTTTGTTATCGCCCCTGTTTGTTAAAAAAAAGGGAACCATGCGCTGCAGTGTGTGTGTGTGTGTGTGTGTGTGTGTGTGTATAAGAGAGAGAGAGAGAGAGAGAGAAAGAGAGAGGGAAAGGGGAGAGGAGGGGTTAAAGACTGGGAGGTATAGATTGCAGACAGAGAGGTACTGGGGTTGGCTGGATTGTGATAGCGACAGATGTCCAGAAAACTGCACTCCTCCGTAACAGCGCACTGCACCTCAGAGAGAAGGAGCGAGGGGCGGAATCTGCAGCTGTCACTCCAAAGGCTTACCTCCATTATCACATCCACCCGGAGACTGGACAAGAAGCCCAACTGGTTCCCCAACAAAAGACACAGGTCAGTCACTGCAAAACTGGATTTTTTTTTTTTTTGATTTAGAAAGAAAAGAAAGAGAAAACAGAGAGATAGAAAAAACGTCACAAAAGGAAGAAAGAAGGAAAAGAGAGTTAGAAAGGTATAGACAGTATTTTTCCCCCCTCAGATTTCACCGTTACAATGAGCCTGTTAGTGCCTCTTCTTTCCAGCTGCGCTTTTTTTTTTCTTCCTCAAACATGTTCAGGCGACCGCAAACCTTTATAGAAATAAAGCAAACCTGAAATAAAAGTTGACACAATCGAGTTTATTATTAATGCTCCCGCATTTCCAGACCCTCGTGAACAAAAAAAAGAAAAAAGAAAAGGAAAAAAAAAAAGGGCAGAGCAGCTGAGGGAAGCGGCGGTGGGTGGGTGAGTTGGTGGGCTGGAGTGGTTGGGGGGATGGAGACCTCTCCGTTACAGCTTTTCAACCCTCATGTATTTCGTGGCGAGTGTGTATTTTAATTTCACTAGCTAGACCTGCTGTAGCCTATATATGGTAGTGTAGTATGTTTAAGCCAGAGTCCCCCCCACCCCCCAACCCACACCCACTCCCCTTGCCAGATTATCTGCTTTTGTAAGTGGGAGCAGCTATACTGGTGAGGAGGGGGCCTCATCCTTTGTTACCGGCCGGCATGGACTGCCTGAGGCTCCATTTGTATTTTGCATGCGACTATCTCTCCAGCATGAGCTGGGTCTACATTTTGAATTTAGTGTCCAAAATTATCCAAACACCAATTGGAATAATAATAATAATAATAATAATAATAATAATAATAAAGGTTGAAAAGACATAAGATGAAATGATTACCCACCTAATTGCTTTGTTTAACATGGGATACACCCAAAAATGGCAGGACTTATAGTTCTGCCATTATGAACTATTATGCTTATCAAATGGTTTTCATTATGGTAAATATTTGATCAAGCTTATTCCAGTTTAGTAGCCTTAATTGCTTTATGAGAGCACTATGGACAGTTCCCCATTTTTTCCACCCCCTGCTGTGGCTGTTCCTGTCACTTTTGACATTGAGACACATTGAAACATAAGAAACATAGCTTTTAAAGATGACACACAGTTGCTGGTTTTGTGGTGTAAAATGGACCAATGGGCAACTCGGTTTGCTTTTGTCTAGTTCACATCCAGACTTGCTTGTTCAACATTTGCTGAAACATTATCCTTAACATAAAGTTGAACTTCCTGTTCTCTTTGGAGTTTTTGCTGCACTCTGTGGCAATCACTGCACTATACACTTCCTCTAGAGGAAACGCCGTGTTGAGACATTAACTTAAAAAAAAAAAAAAAAAACTTTTCCATTTGCTTCCATTCACAAACGGGGATTCGCTGCTCGGACAGAAGATACAGTTTTTCAAGATATGCCAGCATTTGAATGGTCACCAATTGCTAAATAGTTTCAACATTTTTCATGGGAGGAAATGAATATTTCTGGATGTAGATCATAGATCTCAGACTCATGGGTTTGTTGGGCACCACGCCTCACCAGACATTCCTGAAAGGTTGCAGAGAGTGCAGAGCTGTCTGACCTCCCTTAGGTTCCAATACATTAACATTTGTTTTCAAGCCAGTCTCTTTCTGGCAGAGATCCGTTTCCTAATTAAACTTCTTGTTCTCTTCCACACAAGACACTTCTCTATTGAAGTGGCAAAAAAACCCAAACTTTTTATTTAAAGGAACTAAGTTTTACTTTTTGATGAAAAAGAGGAAATGTTACTTTTATTTGTTATTTCTTCATCATATTTTTGATGAATCAATATACTTTCATATTCTATTAGACAACTGTGATGCATCTCATGGGACGGAAGTTGCTGAATGTCATTTGGTTTCAACTTAAATTTACTTATAACTAGCGTGCTAAGATGCTGTTATGCTTTACAAAATCCAAAGGGGAAAACACTTTGTCTTATTTCTTCTTTCAGGAGTCACCATGGGAGGCAAACTGAGCAAGAAGAAGAAAGGCTATGACGTGAGCGACCCCAAAGACAAAAAAGACGAGAGTCCGGCAAGTGGTGCTGGTGCAGAAGAGTCTGCTAAAGTGGAAGATGGAGCTCCACCCACAGGAGCTGAGGAGAGTGCTGGGAAAGATGGTGTGGTAGAGGAAACTGCAGTGTCAGCAGACGCCGCAGCAACAGAGGCTGCAGTACCTCCAGAAGAACCGAAATCTGCCCCTGCAGAGGAACAAGCTCCTGCAGCTGAAGAGGAGGCAGGTCCGGAGCAAAAACCAGAAGCAGCTCCAGTAAAAGACGAGCCAGTTGCCGTGGCAGTGGAAACGACTCCAGCTGTCGACAAACCAGTTGCATTATCAGAGAAAAAAGCACTTGGTGGAGAGGAAAAGGGAGCATCTCCCGAGAAAGCATCTCCAGTGGCTGAAATGGTCCCAGAAGAGCCTAAATCTGCTCCCCCAGAGGAAGTAGAAGCAACAGAGCAGAAAGTAACAGCAGTGGAAGTAACTCCAGTGGAAAAAGTAGAAGCTGTAGTTCAAGAGAAACAAGCTCCTGTAGAAGCACCAGCCGAAGAAGCACCTTGGGCAGAACAAGAGCCCACTGTAGCTGCAGAGAAACCAGTCACAGCCGAAACTGCTCCAGCAGTGGAAACTGAGAAGCCACCAGTGGCTGCAGAAGAATCTTCTCCATCTGAGGAACCCGTGAAAGCCCAGGCCGAACCCGAAGAGCCCCTAGTGGTAGGGCCTCTTGATGCTCTAGGATCTGTGTCACAACCAGACGCTGCTCAGGTCAGCACAGAGCCAGAGTCTGAGGATCAAGAGACTGTGACTGAGCCAGAAGCGATTGAGGTGGAAAGAGTTTCTGCTACTGCAGTGCCTGAACCTGAACCAGAGGCCGAGCCAGTGGCAGAGGTAGTTTCCCAACCAGAGCCCGAGCAAGACGCAGTTCAAACTACAGAGGCAGAGTCTACAAAAGCACCAACACCAGAACCTGAGCAAGATGAAGAGAAGAAACAGCTAGAAGAACCTGAATCCCAACCAGCATTGGCGGCACCTGAGACTGTTGAACTTGAGACTGTTGAAGCAGAATCATCTGAGGTTTTGGAGGCTGTGGTAGAGAATGCCTCTGCAGAAAATCATCATGCAGAAGAAGAATCTGTGTCAGCAGAAGTCCCGGGCTCCAATGATGCAACTGAGTCACAAGCTGCAGAACCTGTACCTGAGATTGTCATCTCACAGTCTGCCTCTGCTAACAACATGACTGTGGAATCTGATAAGACAGCTGAGACGTCCTTGGAAGAAGTGCCTGGCCCGGAGCCTGAGAAGGAAAGCAAGATGGAAAATGGAGATTTAGGAAGCCCTTCCTCCACGGAGAATGGGGTAGATCCAGTTATAGCGGTGAACGGGGAGTGCGCTGATAATACTAATGCCGTGGCCATGCGTGCAGAAGAATTTGTGAATGGGAACGAAAAATCAGAGGAGACGCCTTTCGAGGAGCAGTGCGATTTTGAACTGAAAAAGGACGTGAACCTGTGTGGGGATGTCCAGGAAGTTCCTGACACAGTCTCAGACATGGTGGAGGGTCTCAGCACTGAGGTCACCCAGGCAGTCTAAATTGAAACCTCCTTGTTTTGGCACTGTGAGTCAGTTCAATCATGCGATGGTGAGAGAAAACCACCAAGGAATCACAGACAGCTACGCTTTCTGAAACGCTTTAACCACTGCACTGTTTTTAATGGTAACTCAAGAAAAAAAAAAAAAAAGCTTTTTTTTTTTTCCTCTTGGGTCGCCAAAAATGTAATGCAACCACTTTATAGAGAGTGACGAACATGTTGCAATGGAGATGGAAGTGCAACGAAGAGATTTGAGTCGGTGTTTTTGGTGCAGACAGACAGTGGAGCTGGACAGCATGGCAAAAAAACACACTCACATTAAATATGGTATTGAATGAATGAATACATTTGTGTTTGAGACAAATAAATACTGCAATTGGAAAAATTGGTAATTTTTTCAATTACCCAGTCTGGGTAATTGGGGGGGAAAAAAACAAACATTCATGAGTAGCATATTCTTGAACTTAGACTTTCATATATCCTTTCTATTGCTATATGAAGCAACATGACGTAAATGTTTTGGCCTTTTATAATAACTGTACTTGTAAGGACTGTTAATTTTGAAATGATTGTTCAGAACAGAAAATAAAAAAGATTGATTGTTGTAGTCCACAGTGATCTCCATTTTTTTTTTAATTTCATGATTTCTTACGTCAACAAGAAGGTTTGATAGACCAAATCAAAAAAGATTTACAATTTAGAATTTGATGTTTCAAGTCATCCAAATAGTGACATAAACAACACGTTTGAATTGTTTTTCTGACCACCCAAATGACAGTAGTGTATTTATTGTTTATTTTATATATTAATTTCTCAAATAACACCAGAAGTTTGAGGTCCAGATCAGAATTTCCGTTAGTTTTATTTTCTGTTTGGACTACTTGAGGCTGTTGAACAGCAATGAGCTCAGTGTTTTTCCTTGGCCTCTGAAAGCAGAGCAGCAGCAATGTCTAAGATGATGGTCCTCGTAATTTCAAACAACATGTTGACATTTGCTGTCACTGTGGCTCATAAATGCCTTAATGGATTAGAGTTAAGGTGATTATTCATGTCTACACCGACTGTCGGACCTCTGGACGGGAGAGAGTTCTGCAACCTGCATGTCAAAAATGAGCAAGCGAAAAGACGTGAACATGCTGAGCAGAGTGTTTGGATTTTCAGAAGCAAAACCAGTTTTTTTTTTTTGTCACATCGCCTTTCCTCATAGCTGAAGCACACGACACTAACGCTTCACAGATCCATACTGGGGAAGGGGAACTCAAGGAGGGGGGGAGGGGCAGGAATGCATGCAGGAGGCAGAGAAAAGAATGAAGAGGCTGGGATGGGGAGGGGCTTTAGGGGATCAAAGGCTTTGATGTACCATGGAGTTAAAAAAAGAAAAGGTCACTTTTTACACAGTTTCACACGCTGAATTAAGAGTTTGGACGTAACGAGGTCCAGTATATTGCCGTGCCTTGCTCCTACAAATGATCTCAGCTGAAACATGTTTTGGTACAGTAACTTCCTTCTGTGACATAAACTTCCTGCGTGGTGTGTACATTTGATTGATTTGGATTTTGTAACTAACCATTTAATACCAACTCTGAATCTATTTAATCTTCACCATTCTGTTTAGCCCGTTGACTGATGTGTAGTATTTGACTAAAATGTTTTGTTTGAATATTACTGATCTCTCCTGTATTATGCGCTTTGTTTTGTGATAAGACATCCTCAACTTATTTTCTTCTTATCGACAGTATGCTAAACCTTTACAGAATAATCTATTGAAATAACAATTACAGATCAGGCTTACAGTGAGTTCGAGCGTAACAAATACTACTGTAACACAACCTTGAAAATCCCACTGAACCATAAAGTGAGCACATCAAATCAACACTGTGCTGAGTCTATTTGGTCATTCTCAGAATTGGTGTCAATTTAACTCTTACAGTTATTTCAACAGGAGACTGAGTCATTTCAACACTTGAAACAGGTATAATTATACTCAATCTCTTGTTGAAACGACTCCGAAAGAAATGAAATTAATACCAATTCTGAAAAGAACCAAACGGACTCGGCACAGTGTTGATTTTACTCTGCCAAAGAGACCTGATGATACAAATGTCCCATAAGCAGCTCCATAACGGGCCCATCCGCATACCAGCTCTCTCCGCTTTCATAGAAAAATATGCGGCACTGCATACTTATGACAGGAATGCTGTGGAGAGGGTCTGGGGCCAGAGACGCTCAACTTCCAGGGAAGTTTTCTGTTTTGCTTTTGAAAGGAATTTCACTCAGAGAATCCTGCTTTTGAAGTGATTAAAACTGAAATCAGTTACTTTTCATGAACTAAAAGGACGTACATCATTTCTTTGAGGATTTTTTTGAGATACATTCTGTTGTCAAGTAATTGCTGCAGATTGTAATACTAAAACATATTGATTATATCAGTTTTTTTATCCTTTATAAGAGAAGGGAGGGACAGCTTAGTTTTAAAAGCTGTTTAAAGTTCCCTTTAGTAAAACATTTAATGTAGAAAACAAAAACAAATGAAAATTCTTAAGCAAAACAAAACACCCATCAAAAACCTATATAAAATCCTAATATGCTTATTCTACCATCTTTTGTTTGAGAAATAAATAGATTTCCGATTACTGAAGACGTATAATTTCAACACTTCTTAGTTCACTTGGCTTCATTTTCTTTAGATATAGTGTGTGTGTGTGTGTGTGTGTGTGTGTGTGTGTGTGTGTGTGTGTGTGTGTGTGTGTGTGTTTGTGTAGGAGAACAGAGTCCTTGTCCTTTGGCTCCTGATTTACACACTGCCTTAAAGTTGCATGTTTGTGAAAGGCCAGCTGCACTGCCTGGTTACCCTGACACTATGTGCTCTATATGCACGCCCCTGCACAACGCTCAGACTGTGTTTCAGCCTCTTTCTAGCCTGAAGGCTTTGGTTATCCCCAACTGATGCTTCTGAGAAGGAAAAGAAAATGTGAAATAAATCCAAACTTTGCGTGTGTGTGGTCGAATCTTGAAGGCATGGAACTATTGATTCAGGTTGTTTTTGTCGATAAAAGCGAGGGTTGGAGTTCACTGATCAATTCTCAACTTTTGCTGTGCAAACACGAAGGCAGAAAGCTCTATTTATTTTGTAAAACCTAGTTGCCTGATCTTTAGTTCCATTAGGTTCTCCTCATAAACAACTTATTCACTCCTTCCTCTTTAACATGGCTTAATTTTTAACAGTGTGCCACAATTAAAGTGCTTTACATTTGTCTGTTTAAGCAGAGCCTTAAATATAACCAGTAGCCAATGCAGCTAAAGGCAACACAAGAAGCAGTACCTTACATTGTGAAGGATATTCGCTAGTCTGCCTTCACCCACATGTATAAACACGGTTTCGAATAATGCCAGCTCTCCCTCTTTAGCTTTAACAACATTTTCTCATACCAGAGTTACACATCAATGTCCCTACGGACCTTGCAATGTGATCTGGTGAACAGCCAGACTGGAACAAGAAGGGGGCATCCTCAAGCTGTTACCAGAAAGCTGGGAGCAGGAAATTGTTGAAAATGTCTGGGTCTGCTGAAGGATTTAGAGCTCCTGGATGCAGCTGCTCTCCCTTTAAGGCCCATTCAATAAAAAAAAAAAAAAAAAAAAAAAGCTTTCGACAAGCTGTTTGAGTTTATCTTAAGACCACATGAAGTTTGAAGGCTTGTACTGACACAGAAAGTTAGCGCGCTTCTTGCTGTTGACTCTGGGACATTTTACTGAGCTCTTAAGAGCCACCCATTCTCGGTTTTTGTTTGAAACAGAGCTAGAACTTATACACGTGGTGTCGTATTAAGTGATCTAGAAGAGAGAATGAATGATTTTGTTAATACAGGCACATTCAGTCATGTTGTAAAACCCACTAAAGTCATGAGATCTTACCTTCCCTGCTTTTTTTAATTTTCAGATGCATATTTATAAAACTTCTGTTTTGTGGCTGTTAAAAGGACAGCACTTCAAAAATTACAACTTAATGAAGAAAATTTGTTTTCACTCTGTATAGATTTGTCATCAATGTATTTCATGTACTCATTCTAAACTTACTCTCATTAAGGTGGTGAGCACCACAGGGCACTGTACTCTCACTGTTCCTTTTCATACGGTTCCTCTCCGACTTCCAGCACAAGTCAGAGTCCTGTCACCTGCAGAAATACTCAGATGACTGTGGAGTCGACAGCTCTTTGAAAAATCATGAATGAGTTGCAAATTTTAACTTCTCTTTGGGATTAATCAAGTATTTTCAAATTCAATTTCATTCAATTAATTGAAATTAATTCAATTTCATTCAAGCAGGAATGAAATGTTCCTGCTTGAAAAAAATATGTAAAACTGCATATTGTAAAGACAAGTAAGAATACACGTGTTCTAACGTGATGTGCGCAGCTTTAGGCTATAATAAGAGTCAGGCAGCTAAATTATAGCACATTATCACTTATTACTGAAACAGCAGAGTGGCAAAGCAGAGCACAAGCAAGGCATCTCCAAAAACAAATAACTCTCTGTACATTTTTTTTTTTGGACTCTTTCCCTTCCTAGACAAAAAACACACATAGACAAATGTGGCATTTGTTATTGTGCCTGCAGGAAGTTCCTCTCCTTCCTTCTCTGTAAAACATTCAGGAGATGCACTAAGTGATGCACTAAGATCTGCAAAAATAAATTCATTTCCTGTGGTGACCGAAGCAAAAAGAGAGATTTCTGTTTAAATCTTTCTATTTTTTTTTCTTCAAGTCTGTTTTTACACACATTAAGGCTTTAATGTTTCCCCTAATTTGTAAATTAGACTATTTATCTCTACTTGTGTCAATAGTAGAGCCCTGGATGCATTGATGTGGGCATGTGTGCTTAAGCTGTCATTGTATCAGGGAGAGCAGAACCCTATTAGAAAGAGCCTGGTGGTGGTCAGGATCAATACTGATCTGCTGCGCTGGTCTAATGGATGCTGATTCCTTCTTGTCTGTCCAGAGATCCCATCACCTTAAGCTCCTTACACATGCACATGCTGTCTCTCAAACACACACGCTCACTCTCTCTCTCTTTCTCTCTCACACACACACACACACACACACACACACACACACACACACACACACACACACAAAGACACTTGTGTCCAAATTCTGCTGAAGCTGCGGCTGCTGAAGAGAGTGAGCACTTACAGCGGCCCATTTTCTGCATCCATGAATGTGTGCTTGAGAGACAGGGATGAAACTACATGTTATACTCTGTGGAAGCAGAGTGTAGCGCTAATAAGTTACTCACTAAATATGATTTAAAAAATGTATAAGAAGAGAGAAACACCCAAAACACACCGGACCGCTGCTTATCAGTACAGACTTAGTTCTGGGGTTAGCAGAGTCGTTTGTTTTTCAGGAGCCCTGCCCCGGTGCTGAGATCACAAAACAAAGCAAGTATCAATGTGGAGGTTATCTCACCTTTCACTTTGGCTCAACCCCTGCTGAGATTTCCAGAGTTCAGTGTTGTATCAGCAAGCTTTCGGTGTTGCAGTGTACGCAGAGCACGGCTCCAAATTGAAAGCTGAGATGGCATCCATCTGCTGCGCCCATCCTTTGGTTAGAGTGG